TATTCAGTGAAATCCATTCTTCCATCTACTTGTGCAGTGTTTCCTGAGCCACTAGCTGCCACACAACCCCAAGGCATAATAGATTCACCCCTATGCTTAACAGTTGGCACGGTGTTCCTTTCATCAAATGCTGCTCCTTTTTTTCTCTGAAAATGCTTTTGTTGATTATCGTCCTTTTTACTTAATCAGTCCAAAGCTCTTGTTTCCAAAATGCCTCTGAGTTAACCAGATGTTGTTTTGCATATTTCAGACGTTGCATTTCATGATAGTGTTGCAGGTAAGGTATCCTTCAGATGACACTGCAAAGTAGAACAGTGCACCAGCACTCCTGCATCAGCTAAACCTTCCAGCAGGCCCTTTGCTGTCATGTGGGGGCTTTGCTTTGCCTTTCTGGCATACAAGCAGTTCTATCTGAGAGTGTTCTTGGTCTTCCAGATCTAGCATTGACTTCTACAGTTCCCCCAACTGCTACTTCTTAATTGCCTGTACTTTTTTGAGTGTTAGCACAAGGTTGGAAGAGTCAGAGAATTTATTACGCACAGCCAACAAATCCTAGTGACCATACTGGACTCACCTAACCAGTGAAATTCTGAAACCTAACAAATGGAAGGGTGTCCAAACTTTACCACATGCCAGAATTGGTTTTTCAAGTTAATATCATATAAATAACAGTGCTTTAACATTTGTGGACAACATTTTTCTAAATGGTTTGCTGCAGAGGTTGTGTTTACTTCTTTTATACTTAAAAAATCAACAAAATATGTAATTTGACCAAACTTTAGCACACAACTGTATGGTTGCCTTTTCAACTTTGAGGGACACCAGCAGTCCTATTTATATCCATTTATGAATGAATGTTTTGTTGCTACCTAATTTGTCTTGCTTTTTGATGAAAATACAACTTCTTACATTTTTTTACAATTACTTCTTACATAGATGTTTCTAGATGAGGTAAAGTGATGGACAGTAATTTTCTCTGAAACACAATTTTCACTATTTTACAGTGGATAATTTTTCAAAAATTCTGCATAAGTAAATGGGTGTAAAGATTATGATGGTTGTTTTAAAATGTAAATAGACTCATTCAGAGTGGTTTGGTGTGAAAAGCTCTGTTCTAGAGAAACTTACTGAGTCAGAACTGTTCACAGTGGTGGTGATAGGAACCAGACGTCCACCTCTAAAAGCTCCCTCACAGGAAGTTCCTACATGAAATGGTTATGAACCATATTTTTAATAAATTGTTTTACTGAATTTTTAAAAGGTCAATTTTAAAATTCATTAATGGTGGAAAGATACATGCAGGATATTCTGATGCCAAACAGTCACCAAAGAAAACTGATTTTTTTCAGATTTTTGACTATTTTACCTTCATGAACATTCAACTCAGGAGTAAATGAAATGGCTATTTAAAGGTACTGTGGTTCCAGATCATCACCACAGCTTCAATTATTCATCTCTATAATCAACCATTTCACACCAAACCACCAAAAATTAGTGGAATTCCCCTTTAACACTGTCCCAACAGTTGAGGCTGGTCTAATATGAAAGGCCGGTTGAAGGTGATGGTTTAAAGTTTTTAGCCAGCAACTAGAAAGCTAACCTGTATTTCTATATTTGAAAACAAACCGAAAAAGAAGAAACGAAATCTTGCACTACCCGCAGCCTGACAGGCCCCCAGCAGAGAGAGCAGCGCGTAATACTGTCTGTGGTTGGATCTCCATGATAAGATTATCCCTCTAATAGATGACAATGATTAAACACACTCTTGAAGATGGTTCTTCAAAGGTTCTTCAGTAAAGACAGTGGTGCTGTACAGAACCCTGAACACCCAAAGAATCATTCGCGTGCTTGAATTGTTCTTTGCATGGTGCATGGAATTGTTCTTCAGATTGATGGAGAATGTGTTGTATATGGTTCTATACAGCACCAAAAAGGGTTCTTCTACTGTTACAAGCTTGACATCATAACAATAGCAAAACCATTTTGATGCTATAAAACAATTTCCCAAATCTTTCTACAAAGGACCACACACAACACATTATCCATCAATGGTTGTGCATAGAACCTTTGTAAAAATGATGTCACGTTAGAATGTCAAGTTTGTATACAATACAAGAACCCATTTTGATGCTATATAGAACCATATACAACACAATCTGAAGAACCATTTCACAATGCAAAAACAACTTAAGCGTGCAAATGGTTACTACATAGAGCTCACAGCTCTAAATAGAACATTTTGGTGCTATATAGAACCATATACAACCATCTGAAGAACCATTTCACCATGTGAAGAGCCATTTAAACATGCATGGGGTTCTTTGAGTGTGCACGGTTCTATATAGAACTATTTTCTTTACTAAATAACACCTTGAAGAACCATTTTTAAGAGTATTGTGAAATTGCTTTTCAGATTGATGGAGAATGTGTTCTATGTGGTTTTGCATAGAACTTTTTTGAAAATTGTTCTATATAGCATGTTATGATGTCAAGTTTGTAACAGTAGATGAACCCTTTTTAGTGTGATACAGAACCACATGCAATCATCTAATGAATCATTTGACCATGCAAAGAACCATTCAAGCATGCAAACTCTTCTGCATAGAACACATGGTTCTGAACAAAACTTTTTGGTGCCATATAGAACCATACACAACCATCTGAAGAACCATTTCACCATGCAAAGAAACCTTTAAGCGTGCAAACCGTTCTGCATGGTTCTAAGTAGAACCTTTTGGTGCTATATAGAACCATACACAACCATCTGAAGAACCATTTCACCATGCAAAGAAACCTTTAAGCGTGCAAACCGTTCTGCATGGTTCTAAGTAGAACCTTTTGGTGCTATATAGAACCATACACAACCATCTGAAGAACCATTCTACCATGCACTGAACCATTTAAGCATGCAAACCATTCTACATAGACCCCATGGTTCTAAGTAGAACCTTTTGGTGCTACATAGAACCAGGTACAAGCATCTGAAGAACCATTTCACCATGCAATGAATCATTTCGGCGTGCAAACACCGTTCTACACGGAACTCGTTGATCTAAATAGAACCTTTTGGGTGCTATATACAACCATCTGAAGAACCATTTCGCTATGAAAAGAACCGTTTAAGTACGCAAATGGTTCTACACAACCATGAATTCTGAATTCATAAACAGGACCAGTGCCTTCACTAAAGAACCATCTTTCGGAGGAGCATAGTGGAGATCCGCGCGCGCTCTCTGAGCAGTGTTGTCAGACAGGCCTGCGCTGGTCGCGCGCAGAGAGAAAGCAGAAGTTGGGCCATGCTGATTTTGCAAATAGACACGCAGCTGCGCCTCGAGCTGCAAAAACACTCTGTGGTTTTTCACAAGTTTTTTAATCAGCAGCATCGCTGTGCGCGAGCTCAGAGAGAAGAAGGAGGCGGCCCGGTGCGCGTGGGGTGTTTGTCAGGGCGCAGTGTGGATGCACTTTGCTTCTCTTAACTCTTACTGCGCGCATTTAAAAAATCGCATTGAAATGTTGAACAATGCGCGTGCAGGGACTTCAGCCTTTTTTGTCAAGTCTTTTGTTGCTTTTTCTTTCTTTTTTTTGGTATGGAGGGAGCGGAAGTGTGTGTGCGGAAAGTCTGAGGTTTGAGACACAGGAAGTGTGTTGAGTGGAGATAAGGGCACCTGGCAGGCTCGCTCCCTCCAAACACACACACACACACACACACACACACACACACACACACACACGCTGTTACACACACTCCGCGAGGAACCGAGGCTAGTGCATCCATCCATAATCAATAATCGATACACCGTCAATATCATCACATCATCGCGGAAGGAGGGAACAGTCAGAGCTTACAGAGCTTAATGTGCTCCCTCACTTCTGTTCATATCAACATATATTACTTTAAACATGAATAAATGTGAATCAAATATGAACGTGTTTTTCTTTATCAAAAGGTGTTTCCATTATTTCGCCCTCTTCCGGGGCTGCTTGTGTGAAGCAATCATTTTTTAAAATGAATTTTAACCAAAACATCTGTAAACAACAGATGAGCTACAGCTGCATTGCATTGTTTGTACAGTCGTTGTTTTTCATGTGATGTTTTTCGCGCGTTTTTTTCTGATATTTTAAAGTGCTGGAACAAAAACACGTGATCTGCTATGATGACTGTTATAATCTGGACTACGCTGTTAAAGAAATCCAGGTTCAGTCAATGTTTCTTAATGTACTCCTAAATACTTTTTATGCAATATTCTTTTTTATTAATGCTTCGCGTTTTTTTTCAACAAATGAAAACGCATTTCTTTAATATAAGCAGTTTGTTGGTAGTCGTTAGTAAACAAGCGAGAAGTTTAAGGGTCAGTGGGCCAGATTTGAGCTTAACATTCGTCCAAGAATTCCTTCATCACTAATAATAGCTAATAATGCTTACTTCATCACTAATAAAAACTAAAAATCTTTATTTTGCAAAATTGAATTTTCGTTTTTAGCCAAATAAATGAAATGAACAAATATAAAAGAGAGCTTTGTGAAACCTTATGACAAATGACTTGACAAATGCTTAACATACTTTTTCAGAAATTGCTAAACAAGTCTGAATAGGTGTCTATATTCATTTGGGGCATTTAGTCCGTTTTATTTAAGTCGTTTTTAACGAAAAACGCAATGAAGCACGTTTATTCACTCTTTTATCAGAATATAGAATTTTACCTTGTGAAATTGAAACACTTTTAAATGCATTTTCAATCCCAGATCAGCGCAGCCCTTCAGAATATCTTTTCAGTTTAAGATTTCTGGATTTTTGAATTTTGCGAATTTAGTTTTATTTGCGAAAATTCTGCCTTGGTCGCAAAAGCACACACACGCGCACACGCGCACACACACACAAAGACATATGCAAAGTCGTGCAGCCATTTTGCAGCACTAAGCTCAGTTTTCATCCCAAACAGCATTTTTAATCTGCGGGCGGTTGAAAACAAAAACAATAACAAAAACAAAGCCGCAAATACCGACTAATTTTGCTCCATGAAGTTTCCCGCGATCATCCAAGGCTGGCGGCACCTGCGCGCGCGCTCTCCCTCCCCTGCCACGAACTTGCAACAGGCGCGTGTGAGTGTGTGCATGAGTGCGCGCGCGCACCCCGTGTTAGAAAAATAGTCATATTTATTTCTCGGGCGCCGTTTGCTGATTTGCGGCAACTCGTTAGCGCGCGAGCCGCGCGAGCACTCCGCAGACGACCTGAAAGAACGAAAAACAAGCAAGCGAACAAAAACAAAACAAAAACAAAAGAAAAAAACCCAAATACACTCACAATTCTCCGCGCAGCCCGGACTCCATTTCAGAGAGAGTGCGCGCGCGTGTGTGCCTTTTTCGTCTGCGTGTAAAAGGCGCGTGGCGGTTTCTCGTGTTATTAAAGAGGCGACATTCGACCACGAACGGGAAGGAAGAGGAAATTTTGTACGAGAAGGAAAGAAGTGGGGAGCTGCATCACCGCCTTGCCTCTCTCACTCAGAGAGAGAGAGAGAGCGAGAGAGAGAGAGAGAGCGCGAGAGAGAGAGGCAGTGGGTGGCTGCCCGCGAGCCAAACTCACTCTCAAAACAGAAGCAGAGCGAACGGACGCCTACCTTAATCGTACAGTCCATTGCAGAAGCTCATCGAGGCGCTTTTTGGTGGTGCGTTTTAGGTGCGCGTGGAGCCCTGGCTGGTTGTAGTGGTGGTGGGGGGGGTGAAGGTGAAGCGCGCGCAGACTCAACAGCCTTCACACCATCTCTGCTGCTGCTGCTGCTGCTCTCTCTCTCTCTCTCTCTCTCTCACTCTCTCACACACACACATACACACACACACACACACACACACACACACGCAGTAGAACCGGATGGCAAGGGCAGCTTTCTTTTTCTTTTTTTTTTGCGCGTGAGCTCTGCTTTCTAAAATTGGGAAGTGAAGTCACACGCGGAGCTCCGCTTCTTATTGGCGAGGTGTTATTTACTGCCTCAGAATAAAACAAAAACAATAATAGATCATCAGTAGCGCAGAGCGGTAGATTAGCGTCAGTGGAGTGAAGACGCAGTAACGTCACGTTTCGTAAAAATTCGTTTATGCGTTTTTTTATATTTTCGTTCGTTTGTTTTTAAACCAGGAGCTTCTTTGCATGATACAAGATCATATTTCTTGCATTTTTTATTAAAATAACTTTTTTACCGGCTGAAATCAACAAATTATCCTTTATTAATTATTATTTTTTTCAGTTTGAAAAGGATGTTAAATGTAAATCAGGAGGTTGTACACTGTAAAAAAGTCGAGTCGAGGTGTTTAAGTTGAACACAGTTAATTAAATTCATTATATTTAATTCATTTTGTTAAGTTTAGATTTACTCGACTTACTTTTTAAAAATGTTGTTGATTAAATATGTAGTAAGTAAATAAGAGCCTCTGGCTCCCTTAAAGGCTGATTTTAATCATATAGTCATTTAGTCGTAACACTTTATCGTTATTGCGTTAACTTGCACTTTATTTTGAATCGATTTCAAATTTAGATTGCTGAATTTTTGGCGCCAGATTGTTTAGCACGAATCAAATCAATCAAATGTGTAATTAATGAGCATCTCTGACCAAAACTGGGAGTGATGAAGGTTTTGAACTGAGCATCATCATCATCATCATCATCGCTGGGCCAATACCTCATAGCTAACAGACTTTAATTTGAAATTTTCTCCAGTTTTCTGGTTTGATTTAAAATTTTACACACATTTTTTTAAATTCCTGACTCTCATATAGGCCCGATTCTTCAAACAAAGTTTAAGAACATTTCCACATTTTAATATTATTTATATAAGTCTTAATAGTATTTTTGATTGACTGACTAAGATTTTTTCAGTAATATATAAAAAATGCGTCAAAAATTATTTTTTTATTAATCGCAAATTTAACGATAACTTTAGAGCGGCCTACAGAGTTCAAATTAAAGATGCCAAAAAGGGCTCGTTTGAGTGAAGCCACTGAAGAACCAAAGAACCTTTTTAATTGTCTACAGAACCTCCAGGTAAAGAGACCATTCAATGAGTTCTCATAACAAACCACGCCCAGGAACTATTTAGGAACCTTCGCTTTTTTTAAGAAAGTGAGTGTTTACATATAATTAAAGTAAACCTTACCCCCTATGTTCTATACTAGGACAGATATTCTGTATATTTAATGTACACACTGAACATATATTCAACATTTTGCGATATTCTCGCACATTTAGCGCCCAATATGGTTGAATCTGCAGATTTAGTTGAAATTCTGCTTATAGAATATAATTCGTGGTGCCCCCTGTGGCCATGTCTGTTTATTTATTTACTGCCTGTTCTCTGTTTATTGATTTATTTATTTAAGCACCATTTGCACCAAACCCGTCATGCAAAAGCTCTATGCTAAAGTTAGCGCACCCCTTCTCAAGGTCCACGCTGTGTTGATTTTGTCATTGAAAGTAAGTCACATCCTCTACAGCTTAATTTGAATTCAATTTCTATTTAGTGGCTGAATTTAACATACTGGAAACAAAAATAAAATAGAAAATGTGCGCGCAGTCCACGCTTTGTGTTTATTTTTTTCAACATGTAAAATTCAGCAAATAATCAGAAATTGCGCAATAAAAATTTGCATAATATGTCATATGTAAGTGTTGTAGACGCATTTCATTTTCTGCAATTACAAAATTAACAAAACACGTACATATAAGCCGGAGGGGGGGGGTGGTGACAGACTTCCGCATACGACGTGTGCAAAAGTGTGTGCACCCCTGCTCAAACTAGGTTCCGCAGTGCTGCTGGTTTTCTGAGCGCATCCTCGCTGATTTATTTCATATATTTCGTAAGATTAACCCCCAGAATTCAAAAACAAAGCAGAAAATGTGAACAGGAGATCAAACTTTTGCACAAACTTTTAGGCCTGATTCCGTTACGCAGTGCGTTCTGAACAGATTTTAAAAGATGATTTGGGCAGATTTAAGCTCTCTTATTCTGACTAAGCACAAAAATGTAACAACTGCACTAACTTATTTTTTTATTCATATTATTTTTGGCTTACTTGTCAGTTAAACTAATGCGCATTTAGTAACACTGTTTCTTGTAAAAGGCCTACGTTACTCAAGTAAAGCCAGCTAAGATTAATTTATTTCGATCAGTTCTACAGACTAGAGTCCGAAAAGCTTCCCAGCATTCTTTGTTTCTTTGGTTTGTTAGTTTTGCTTAATTAACTCTTTTTTATTTTATTTTATTTATTTTTATTATGATGTTTTTGTTTTGTAGCATTTTCTCCTTCTATTTGAAGTTTGGATGCATTGTGTATGTTTATTACTCCCAATATGATGGTGTTTTTTTTACAATACACTTATGTCTATTGCTTATCCCAGTACAATCTTGTCTCTTGAATATTGTGTCTTGTCTGTAAATAATATATACATTGTCTGTGTCCACACGCAGTCTGCATATTGCTTGTATATTGTGTATATAGTACACTGTAAAAAATGGCTCGTCAGATCAACATAAGAAATGACTTTATGTGGTAACAGGTAAATAACCTAGTTTTATTCCACATAAATAAGTACTTGGAATCAACGATTCTTTCAATCAATGTGATTTCAGAGTTAAATTAAACTAGTTCAATTGTTTTTTACTAGGTGAGGGTTTTTTTTTGTTTAGGTTGATCTGACGAGCCATATTTTACAGTGTATGGTCGGTAAATTATTTGTACATTGTTTATTTATTGCGTTTAATACTAGAGAGACACCAACAAACCATATTGTGTGTCAACTTACTTGGCCAATAAATCTGATTCTGATTGTGATTCTGATTGAGGAAGGAAATGAGTTTGAACAGTTTTATTGAGTGAAGTGACGTCATTTGGAGTCAATGCTCTGATTAATCTAACTCATTGCAGAGTGAGCAGGACTCAAAAGAGCCCAACTGAAGCTGTTAATAATGTCTGATTTGATCTGACTCGGATCACTGACAATTACAAAACGATCATAACTCAAATACGAAGTTATTCAAGCTTCAACCTGTGCAGTGACTTCATTTTTCGAGGCAGTACGTTTGCATGATTTAAGTAAAGAAAGCTGATTTTTACGCTGAAGAGTCAGATTTAAATAGTGCAATAAAACAATCTCTTCAGATTGTGAAACCCGTCGCGCGCCAGTGAGGGTCGTTAAAGTGACAGATCGCACGGCTCATTAGTCTGCAGTGGGGGCTGGAGGGGGGGTCTGTGCTGTAACTCGACCCTCAGTGTAGCTTCTCCATCACGACTCGTGTCTTAAGTGCTGCTGACTGACTTTCCAGATGGATTTTTTTTTTGCCTGTGGAGATGTTTGGCGGTGTTTGCTGGTGTTTGGGTTTGGCCTTATCTGCTCTAAGCACTCGCGCCGTGATTTCAGGACTGCTTGGGTTGTAATTTTACGGCCCATTGTTCCCCTGAAATGGCTTTTAAAGATAGACTACCAGTAATCCTGATTACAGGAGAAACCCCTCATACTGAGAGCCTTCTGATTTTCCCCTGCTCACATTCCCTCACTCACCCACCCACTCACTCACTCATTCCCTCACTCACCCACCCACTCACTCACTCATTCACTCACTCACTCACTCCCTCACTCACTCATTACCAAGAAATGATGCCTTCATTAACCTGTTATTGCCCATATGGAATATTCATATATATTTGGCGTACATATTCTCTGAACAGCAAATCTGGACATTTTTCTAGATTAAAAGTGAGTTTTTATCACTTACATTAAATTAAGTCTTTATGGTCACAGATTTTTTACCAAACTTACCATTTACAAAATACCATTTTTGGGGGGAGTGTCTACTTGCACCAACTGAAATAATATCAACCACACAGCCTGGCTAACCCACACTATCACATGAAAACGCTTATCTTTGCTGCCATTTTATATTTTCCATTAATAAAAAAGAGGCAACATTGGGAGAAGCTGTGTTCAAAACAGAAGTGGAGAGGTGGGTTATATAGAGTAATATTAACCCTTTGTATCTCAGTCTTTTTACACACTAAGGCTTATTTTTCACAAACCACAGGGACTTCAATGCAAACTTCAATGCAAACTAAAGTGTGTAATAAAACGTTGGGTCTGCCAGTGGGCCCTGGCCTTTTAAGGGGTTAACTAGAAAATAAGTGAGTGCAATTTTTAACAGTAACAGTCTTAAAAGTTAAACACTCTTGTCTTGGACTTATGCTGGTTGCTATAGCCTAGTGGATAACACCACTACCCTGCATGTTTAAAACTCATGTTTAATTCCTTGCTGGGGCAAATGGGGAAGTTGCATGATATTTTCTGTAGTTTTTATTTGGCAGTTTGGGCTTTTTAAAATTTTAATTCAGTAGAGTTTAAGCCAAGGCAGCACATTTTGTTCCTCACATTATGTACTGTATATTATCACTGTCTGAGAAAACAGAGAGAGAGATAGATGCTGGTAAGAATGACCTCAAGTACAGCTTTGAAAAAAAATATTGCTGAAATATAGGCTAACACTGCTGAATCAGTTTTAAGAAATAGTATAAAATATCACATAATTATGTAAATGTATATAGCATGAACACTAAGTGTAAACAATGAAATCATGCGATTTATGCTTAGTGTAAATAGAATCTGTGTTTTTATGCCTATATATATATATATATATATATATATTATATATATATATATGTTTCATTGATTTATAGCCAATCAGTGTTTGTGAAATCACTGCACTACAAAACAGGACAGGATATCCTAAGTCCCATGTGTAGACGAGTCAGGTCTTTCACATCGCCGTAGTATACCAGATGCTCATCTCCGTCTAATGAGGATGAAAATAACAAGTAAAATTTATAAACATATAAAAGAACATCAATGTGGCGCTGTAGAGAATGGAGTCATTTAACATAAGAAGAGCCCATAGCCCAGAATTTGTTTATAGACCCTTTAAGTGTGTGTTTAAATATTTTCAACATTATGCAGTTTAAAACAGCTTAAATCGAGAAAGTGTAGAAAATCCAAATTTGCTTGCGAGTAAAAGAAATTTTGTGCCATTAAAATTGGACAGTATTAGATATTTAATTACCTGTAAAGGAGGCTCTTCAGTGGTTGTTCAGTGAAGGCAGTGCTTCTATACACTCAAAGAACCGTTTGAATGCAGATGTGGTTCATTGCTTCCTGCTTAAGTGGAGATCCTCATGTGTGTAGTTTCAAAAATGGTTCTGTGTAGCACTCAAAGGGTTCCACTATTGTTCCAGAGAACCCTGTTGAGAACCCTTGAGTGAGAGAGTGATGGTAAACTCTACACAATTTCATCACCTTAGACCAACCGGAACAAGTTTGTAGCAAAAAGGGTTCAATGTAATACCAGACACTGGTTATAGAGGAACCTTTTTGGTGCTAGATAGAACTATTTTTCAAAAGTAAAAAAAAAAAGATTTTTCATCATAGAAGATGGTGAATTCAGTATTTTTGGTCACAGAGTTTTACCCAAACTATAAAAAATCCAAATATGAAATGTGAATAAAAGTAAAAGAAAATTACTTCATCAAAATTGGAGACTGATAGATGTTTATTTAACACAGTGGTTCCAGAACACAAGCCTGGACAGATTAAGCCTAGTCTTGGTCTAGATTATCAGTGGCAATCCATCATTGAGAATCCAGAGTCTATGCTTTAAGCTTTGTCTTAAAGGGGAATTCCACCCATTTTTCTTTTTATAATTCAATGGTGTGAAATGATTGATTGTAGTGGCTCAGATGTCTTTACAGTGGTGGTGATAGGAACCAGGGCGTCGCCATGCCTACAACACAGATATAGACATTTTATTTACTATCCAGAACCACCAGTGAACCTACACGAGTCTTCTGAGTTATATGGAATGTTGATGATGGAAAATAGTGGAAAATCTGAAATAATACGTTTTCTTTGGGGACTATTTTGCCTCAAAGCACCCTGCATATTATGTATCCCTCCACCATGAATAGAGTTTAAGTTCTCTAAACTATCATAAAACAGTGTCTCAGTCATCAGGCAGTGAATTCATAACCATTTCATGTAGGAACTTTCTGTGAGGGAGCTTTTAGAGGTGGACGTCTGGTTTCTATCACCACCACTGTGAACAGTTCTGACTCGTAAGTTTATCTAGAACAGAGCGTTTCACACCAAACCACTCTAAACCGCTCTGAACCACTCTGAATGTTTACATTTTAACCACTTAATTAGACTTTTACTGCATTTTATTACATTTCTATTACATTGTATTACCACTTCATTACGTTTTAATCCTTTAAACGAAGTTGACCCCTAAATTATGTGTCTTTTTCTCGTTTCTACACTCATTCAAAGTTTTGTTGTTGTTGTTTGTTTTATCTTTTTTTCTGAATGAAAAAGGTAACAAATCTGCGCTCGTGACTCCTGGCTGACGTCACGGCGTGCGAACAGACCGGGGAGGGGTGTATGGGGGGGGGTCTAGCTGCAGTCACGAAGCAGCGCGAGCACATTCCAGCGCCACGCCCCCTCCTCTTTATAACGGAGAGGAGGCGCCGCTACTCCATGCAAAGCTTCTCCAAGCTCGCGAGAAACCTGAAGGTACGTCCACGCGCCGATTCTCCTGAAGTCCAGCTCTGCTTTGTGGTAGGATTATCACCTCCTGTTTATAACTTATAGATGATCAGAGCCTTAAATAATAACATTCATAACATGCTATTATGTAGTCCTACAAATAATAACGCAGTTGCATTTGTGTTGTTTATTATTTATGCTGCTTAGTTTTTGCTTTAAAGCCAGTTTGTGGGTTAACTGCAGCCCTTTGTTTGTGTGGTTCAGATGGAGATGTATCAGGCCGGATATTATACAGAGGACTTCAGAACTCAGGAGGTTCCTGGCGGCTTTGACTTCAGCTCATATGGTAAATAATCTGCTCCTCTCCTCCTCTTCTTCACTCCTGGGTTCGGTCCTGAGACAAAAAGGGAGATTTTGGGAGATTCTAGCGTTCCTCCTGTCACGTTTCCTGTGTCTGCATGCAAAAACATTTCCTCTGTCCTTCAACTGAGGAGCCACATTCGTAGCAGGCCCTGTCAGGGAGCCCAAACTGGACCTTGACATCTTGTTTGCTTGCACTAATTCATTGGTGGTCAGGAAAGCAGGGGCTGTTAGGACACATGTGTGCGGACAGTGAGGAATGTGTAAAGCAGGGCGGCCGGTGCGCAGGTTAAAGATATAACCTTTTTTGTGAGTGTGTGTGTGTGTGTTGCTCTATCCCAGCTCCCTCCCTCTTTTCCTAATCCTTTCCTCCAGACTTCCTCCTCAAACAGATTTAGCACCCCCTGTCCTCCCCCTTTCATCATCCCTCCGTCCCAGCGCCTCAGCCGGTTTCCTCCCTTTCCAGCCTGGTTTAGACCGCTGCGCTGGGTGGGGCTCCGGCTCCTCTCACTGAGAGAAATACAGCCGTGTTTTGTTTTTCGGGCTTGTAAAAGTCCTGGTTTTGTTTGCTAGAGGGGGGTTTACACTGTAAAAAAACAACTTATAATAAAAAATAAATTAAATTAAAAAAATTTAAAAATGGTGGGCGCCACACAAAATCTGTTAATTAAATCATTAAGTAGAAATGTTTTTCAATGATGGTAAAAAATCTGTAAATTACAGACCTTTTACTGTAATTCAACAGTAAAATTTCACTTGGGTCTTGGGTCAAGGGTTCTTTGGTGAAAGCAATGGTTCTGTGTAGAACCATGAACATACATAGAACCCTTTGCATGATTAAAGGGTTCTTTGCATCATCAAAAGGTTCTTCAGATTGATGGAGAACGTGTTGTGTATGACCATTAAATTAACAGCAACCATTAAATTAACCTCAAAGTGTATGTCTTTACCACATTAGTCTTGTAGCTTAGGTCCAAACTGCATTTGGTGCTATTTGCTATTTGTACAATGAATAACACTCAAATAGCCTTAGGCTGTGGTCAGTTACATCTCATCTCTGTTTTAACCTCTTTAACCCAGATTTTTTTTTATCACAGTGCTTGTTACTGAGTAGTTACATGGTTATTTACATGTTATAAGATGCATTGTAAAGCTTTTTCACTGAAAAAGCTGTGTTCAAGGAACTATTTCTGCTGCATGTTGGTGCAAATATTTCCTTAATCTTTGAGCTCCATTAATTTCAGTTAGGTACGTAAGTAAACCAATGTACTTATTACTTATGATGAAAAAATATAGCAACACAAAAAGACTTCTTGGACATTTTGTGAGTCGGTTGACCACAGTGGAGGTCCACTTGGACATCTACAGATCCTGCTGCACTCTGAATGTGCTGCACTGAATCTACTTCTATTCATCATTTTAGTTATTATATTTGTGTGGAAACGATGGGCACATTTTAATCAGCTACCGTTTCCAATATTTTGTCCTGCATGTGCAGACTGAAGCAGAGGTTGTTTGCAGTGTCTGCTCTGGTCTCAGTGAAACTCATTCATGTCGATATCTCTGATAATGTACCCGCAGACTACAATGGTGAAGACCTGTCCTTTTTGTTAGACAGCAAAGGACCCGTCCAACCGCAGTACGCCGACACGTACGGAGAACTGCAGAAGGACCACAGCAACAGCTCCAAAGGTGAGCAGTGAACATGCAGATCACTTCACTCAGGCTCCTCAGCTTCTGCAGTTCTTCTGCAGTTCAGTGCATTCTTAGCTTGTCCTGATTTGATTCTGATCAAGTTCCTCTCATTAAGGCAGAGCAGCTGAGCTCAACTGTAGACTAACAGTGCATTAACACTGCTCTCCATCCTGTTTTCTCTCTTTCCAGTTCATTCCACCGATAATGGCTTATTTAGTCTAGAGTCCTTCCCTGAGTTCAACTGCTGGACAGCCTATAACACAGGTGAGAACCATTTACCAGCCATCAGATCTTCTCAACAAGGCTGGCAGTCTGTATGGAGGTTATTCACAAAGAGAGGCTCCTTTTAACTGCTTCATTTCATATATACACACATTTCGCTGCTGTCTGAACAAAACCTTGTATCTCCAAAATGGTAACTTTACAGGAGAAGGAAAAAACATACTTTACTTCTAATGTAAGTCAATGGAACCAGACTTTTTTTCCAAGTCATTTTGGGCCGTTTCTTTTGGTCCATTCATCATGAAATTTACACACAATGTAAAGAACAACATTATTTTCAAATTATGTCAAACTGAAAAACAACAAAAATGGAGATAAGAGGTTTTCTTCTGACAGCAGCAATAAATATGGACAAAACCTCATATCTCCAAAATAGTAACTTTGCAGGAGAATCAAAAACATTCCTCACTTCTAACGGAAGTAGATTTTTTGAGCATTTCTATTGGTCCATCATTCATTATCATATATATATACATATATATATATATACATATATATATATATATATTACACTCTCAATAAAGAGGGTCCTTCAAGGGTTCTTTAGTAAAGTGGGTCCTGTATAACACCAAATCAGGTTCTCCTGTTGTAAGAAACATTGTAACAATAGCAGAACCGTTCTGGTGCTACATAGCAAATATACAAAAATCTAAAGAAACATTCCACCATGCAAAGAACCTTTAAAGCATACAAATTGTTCTTTGAATGTTCCGGGTTCTGAAAGGTCTTGTAAAACTTCACAACTTACACTGTTTTGCTTCTGTATTATTTTTCGTGTTTTTTATATTTGTTTATTGCATATGCATTAAGGACAAACATTTATATTTTCCAAAATATGTCTATCGTTTTTATAATATATTTGCATATCGCTGCTGTCGGAACAAAACAGTTCTTCACATAATTTGAAAATGCCTGTTGTTCTTTACATTGTGTGTAAATTTCATGCTGAATGGACCAAAGGAAATGACGCAAAATGACTTGGAAAAAATTCTGGTTCCATTCAGTTGCATTAAAATTAAAGTAGGTTTTTTTCCCTCTCCTGTACAAGGTTTTGTTCCAATAACAGCGATATATAAATGTATTCACATTTATTTGTATTTATTCCCATGTTATATGGTGTTTTTACAGGCCAAAACATAATAACCGGATTAAAAAATGTAAAACATTTTTAAGGCTGTTATGTTTATACATTTCAGATTCAGCCATTTATTTCAAAGGGAAATTTTCTAAATTCTAATTTGAAATTTGTAAAAAATGTCAGTTTATCCATACAGACCTTCAAAATACAGTTTGACTTTAGATGCTGTCATGAATTCAGAGCTCAATGCCATCTGGATGCGACCTGGTTGTCCATTCGTTGGCCTGCTGACCGCTGTATGGACACATTAGAGTTAGAGCTTCACTGCTGGATCAAGAGGCTCTCGTATGTGCTGTGTAGATTATTCATAGTGTGTCCTCATGTTCTCAGTTCCTGATGGGATGGTGACAGAGAGACAGCAGGGGGGCTTTCACGACTCTCCCTCTCAGACCTATCAGAACCTGCTGCCCCCCTGCCCACCAACCCAGAGCAGCCCCTTCAGCTCCTCCGTGGACCCCAGCAGCCTCTACCAGCCTCCCAAAGAGCTCGGCTGCAGAGGAACAGGTGAGCGACAGAAGCTACTACAGAGGTGGTAGATAGAGTGGTCAGATAAGTGATCAGATGGTTACAGGTTATTTTTCTGAGGTTAATGAGAACCAGATCTGGTTTTACTAGCCAAGATCTCATCAGCTGAGATATCATTAACATATTTCTTAATGCCCAAAATTGATCTGCAATGTATGTCAATAGGTAAGATATCTTTAACGATGAATTCCTCCTAACAGGAGCTCACACACAGGTACAGTGACTGAATCTAGAGCAGGAGAGAAAAATGAATAGACATATGTAATAAAAGCTTATGTACTTTTATATGTCTTAATATCCAAAATATATGGGCAATATATTTCAATTGATAAGTCACCATTAACAATGCATTGTTCTTGGCAGTAGCTCACATTAAAACAGACATAGAAATAAATAAATATTACATTTAAAAATATGTTTGCATATGAGACAAAAATATATGTACATATATTTCTCAATATTCATAATGTATGTGCAAAATATGTCAATGTACATGATGGCTCAGCAACAAAATTCCATGTATGCACATTTATTTCTTTATATCCAAAATTTATGAGCAATAAATGTCAATAAATATGATGGCTTAGCAAAAAAATACATATATATATTATATATATATCCTCATATACAAAACACAAAACAAAGAAATACTAATTTATGTCATCAGAGACATTGAGGGAGGTTTTTTTATGTTATTTCCTTTTTTCAGTTCAGACTGTTTATTATTATTATTATTATTATTATTCCATTTTTAATAAATGCAGTTCAGTCTGTTGCCCCACATGTAGCAGACTTCAAACCCCTCTTCAGTGTTGATTTTAATATTGTAATATATGCCAGTATATTAAAATATATGTCCATGTATGTAGATTATAAATATGTAATGTGTCAGAAATATATGCAAATATATTACAAAAATGATTTTGGAAAATACAAATATACAAAAATAAAAAAACACAAAAAAAATACAAAAGTAAAATAGAAGAAGCTTTACAATATTAATTTATACTCTAAGGTGGTTCTTCAAGGGTTCTTTTCAGGGCTTCAGGGCTCTATTCAGAACCCGGAACACATAAAGAACCATTTGCATGCTTAAATGGTTCTTTGCATGGTGGAATCGTTCCTTAGATTATTGTATATGTTCTATATAGGACCAGAAGCGTTCTGCTTTCATTACAACGTCAAGCCTATTACAACAGAAGAACCCTATTTGGTGCTATAAAGAACCAGATACAAGGATCTGAAGAATCATTTCACCAGGCAAAGAACCATTTAAGCATACAATAGTTCTATAAAGAACACTCGATTTCATTCCCTTTACTTTGAGAACCCACGAATAACCCTCTTTATTTAGAGTAGTGAGTGGTCATCAGTGGTCATCAGCGCTGTATTTCAGTCTCCCTCTCCCGTGTTTTGTGCTGCAGGTGACGCAGAGAGGAGTTACGGTTTGTACGAGTCAGACGCTCAGAGCAGACCGTCGCCCTACTGGTCAGATTATTCCTCCTCCAGCTACTGCAGTCCGCTGCTCGGACAGCCTCCATCCGCCTCATCCCCCCTCCCTCAGCCTTCAGAGCCCTTCTGCCCCCGCGTGGCCAAGCGGCGCACTGCACCCTCTCAGAGACTGGAGCGCGAGGGCGAGGGGGCGGGCATGTCCGCTTACCCAGGTGAGAAATCAGCCGACACTGACCATTTAAGGCCTAAAACGCTTTGATGCGCGAATCTGAAGGTGCCGATTCAACCACGTGGATTCTGTAATGTTACGATTATAATCGATTATTCTTCGACTCAGTAAAGCATGCGCTTCTTTTACGACCACTGACCTGTAACACGCTGAGTTTACTAAAAAAGTGGGGAAATCCGTTTTTATCACTTATATAAAGTTAACAAATTAATTTCAACAAATGTCCACAAATTTCTCTTCTGAAAACTTCGATTCTTCGAGTTATTTAAGATTTTGATAGGTTAGCTCGCTTTCAGCTGTGTCCTAAAGCCCAGACCTAATACGGCCATTTACAGCGCATCCCAGTTACATCTGCATATTCAGTACAGTAGAAATGTTTCTCAGTCGTAGCCTAACAAAAATAATCGTGATGAAAATGAAATTTGACTTGAAAATGAAATCGTAATCGAATTCAGGGATGGAAAAGTACAGAAAATATGTTTAAGTGAAAGTTTGATTATTGTATTGCAAATTTTTTACTTAAGTCAAAGTGCAATTAAAATAAATAGCTTTAAATGTGAGTGACAGTCGAAACAAACTCAAGCATATAAGAGTAAAAAGTAAATATTTTAATATATAGATTAGCTTACAGTAATTGTGGGTAGCTTTATTTTACAGTGATATGAATTTATTGTGTGTTCATACAAAAAACAATAAATTACAGTGTAACAAAATTTGACTGATTGGTGAAAGGAAAAAAATATTTATTAAACAAAATATTTCCTTAATTAGGAAGTATAATAATAAGTATAATAGTAATTTAAGTGTGAAGAATCTGTAAACTGACTTTTAGATCCCACTTTTAACAGTTTCAGCAGAAATGTAAACAAAAATGTACAGTTTTAAATTGATCCCTAAGAAAAAAAAAACTCGAGCTGTGTTACGCAGGCGGCCGCTGGAGTTTGAAATTTGTATTTTGTACTTACTTTTGTAAATAAACAGCATGTTTGGGTAAAAATGCAAGTATCCAGTTTCAGTAATACCTGGGTAAAACACAAACGCTCCATAATAACTTAAGTACTCGAGTATTTCCAACCCCCTCACGCCTGTTTTCACTCCTCTGGCCGTGTGTATTAACCTGTGATTGATCTGTTTTGCTGTGCAGGATCAGGGCCCATCCAGCTGTGGCAGTTCCTGCTGGAGCTTCTGCTGGACTCTGCGTGTCACACCTTCATCAGCTGGACAGGAGACGGCTGGGAGTTCAAGATGTCCGACCCTGCAGAGGTGAGAACTCACACAGACCATAGAACAAGACAGCCCACCAACACACGGGGAAACAAAACATAATGCAGGAGAACCAGTGAGACTCTGAGTGAGACTCTGAGTGAGTCTCTGAGTGAGACTCTGAGTGAGACTCTGAGTGAGTCTCTGAGTGAGACTCTGAGTGAGACTCTGAGTGAGTCTCTGAGTGAGTCTCTGAGTGAGACTCTGAGTGAGTCTCTGAGTGAGACTCTGAGTGAGATTCTGAGTGAGACTCTGAGTGAGACTCTGAGTGAGTCTCTGAGTGAGATTCTGAGTGAGTCTCTGAGTGAGACTCTGAGTGAGACTCTGAGTGAGTCTCTGAGTGTGTTCTCTGTAGAGGATGTGTAAACTATTTTATTACTAAGTTACACTTACACACTTAAAACATGGTTCTTCAAGGGTTCTTTAGTAAAGGGAAGGGTTCTTCAGATTGATGGAGAATGTACTGTATATGGTTCTTAATAGAACCTTTAATGAAAAGGGTTATATAGCATTAAAAAGGGTTCTTCTATTGTAACAAGCTATACATCGTAACAATAGAAGCCTTTTGGTGCTACATAGAACCCGTACAGTCTCCGTCAATGTGAAGAACTCTTTCATGATGCAAGGAACCATTCAATCACACAAAGGGTTCTTTGAGTGTTTATGGTTCTATATAGAATCATTTTCGTTAAGAAACACTTAAAGAACCTTCTTGTGTGTAGAAAACCAACAACCAAAAATAAAAGAGGAACCACTTTGGAACCTCTCAAAGGATGCTTGTGTAGAGAACTACTTGTAAAACAGGTGTGAGCGTGAACTTCACTCCACAGAATGTAAAGGTTCTAGGTAGAACCCCTGAACTGGTAAAGAACCTCTATATTATGTGAAGGTGCTTTAAAACCTTTAAAAGGTTCTTCAGACTTGCAAACCTGTTTACAAAGGGAAGCAAACGTGGTTCCTCTGCAGCACCGCTCAAAGAACCCTTTGTTGGCCCCTTTATTTTTCAGAGTGTGAGAAACATTTATAAAAAAATGTTATCGCTGTTGGAGCAAAAGCTCATATCTCCAAAATGGTAACTTTACAGGAGAAGGAAAAAACCTACTGTACTTTTAATGTAAGTCAATGGAACCAGACTTTTTTCCAACTGATTTTGGGTCATTTGTTTTGGTCTGTTCATCATTATATTTACACACAATGTAAAGAGCCACATGCGTTTTCACATTTTGTCAAAAACTGAAAAACGACAAAAATGGATATACAAGGTTTTGTTCTGACAGCAATGATATACACATTATGCTGCTTTTCCTATATGTAATACTAACACCTGTCATTTTCCTTCCCACGTAACAGGTGGCCAAACGGTGGGGTCAGTGCAAGAACAAGCCTAAGATGAACTACGAGAAGCTGAGCCGCGGCCTGCGCTACTACTACCACAAGAACATCATCCACAAAACGGCCGGCAAGCGCTACGTCTACCGCTTTGTGTGTGATGTGCAGGGCATGCTGGGAAAGAGCGCGCAGGAGGTCCTGGCCAGCATGAACATCTCACCGTCGAGCGCAGGATCACCGAGATCAGCAGGTACCACGAAGTCAGAAGACACAGCAGACGTCTGGCCTCATTAGCAAAGTTCACTCTTCAGCGCTGTGATGAAGGAGGAGCTTCTCCGCTGAAGGAGCTTCCAGAGAGTCGATTACATCCAGGATTCAACAGACTTTCGCACCTCCATTCATCTCCACTGCTCTGTGGACGGAGAACCTCCACCTGGATGGCCTGGAGCACTGTCAGCGCTGCTGACGACAGACTTCATCCAGACTTTAGTATCTCAGTACCTGTAAAGAAAAAACAAACTTGGAGGTAAAGCCTTGTGTTGACACTCTATGCTGGTTCTGCAGTAAAGGGAATGGTTCTATTTAGAACCATGAGTTCTATACGGACTCATTTCATGCTTAAATGGTTCTTTTTTGAGAATGGTTCCATGTAGCACCGAAAAGGTTGTGCTATTTTTAATGAAGTTTGAAACAACAAGACTTTTTTGGCGCTATTATAGAACCACATACAACACGTTCTCCATCAATCTGAAGAACCATTTCACCATACAGAGAACCACGTATGCAAATGATTCTATATAAAACTCATGGTTCCAAATAAAACCATTCCCTTTACTAAAGAACCCTTGAAGAACCATCTTTTGTGAGAGTGTATATGGACATATGAACAAGCTCTAAATAATCAATGCAATTCGACATATTTTAACATTTTTTTATCAGCTACCTCTTTTTTAATTTGGTGTTCCAGCATCAGATTGTGTATTATTGTAAATAAATCATTTTGTCTACGATTCACTCGCAGCTGCCATCATTCATACATGCCAACTTTCATCACTCAGCTTGAAGAAAAAATATTTTGGGGTCGACAGATGGAGGAAGTGAAATTACTGTCGTCCACATGTTCTTTTTTTAAATCGAGCCACTGACATTTATTTCACCATGCTGGTGTTTAGAGAGCGAGATCACCTAAATGAAGCTTTTCTCTAAAGATAATTCACAGCAACCAATCACATTACACTTCACTGGCACTTTTTATATTTACTCTGCTTTTGACTACTCACAATTCTGTCACGAATCACTCCACACTTTTATCTTTATCGATAGAGATTTGGTGTCAGACAGGAAACCCTCACTGTCTGTTACGCCTGTTACTCTGAGTACTGAAGGAGATCCAGCAGAAGAAAGACTTGCTTTCAAAATTGCACTGTTGAGTCAGAACTGTTCACAGTGGTGGTGATAGGAACCAGACGTCCCCCTCTAAAAGCTCCCTCACAGAAAGTTCCTACATGAAATGGTTATGAATTCACTGCCTGATGACTGAGACACTGTTTTATGATAGTTTTAGAGAACTTAAACTCCATTCATGGTGGAGGGATACATGCAGGGCACTGTGAGGCAAAATAGTCCCCAAAGAAAACTTAATATTTCATAATATTGCCATGCGTAACTAAGTCGTGGTCACAGCTTAATTATTCTCATACTTCACCAACTCATAGCCATGGCTGAATTATCTCACTCCCATGCCTAACTAAGTCATTGCCACAACTTAATTATCTCATTCCCATGTCCAACTAAGTCATTGCCACAACTTAATTGTCTCATTCCCATGCACAAGTAAGTCGTGGCCACAACTTAATTATCTCATTCTCATACTTTACCCACTCATACCATATCTTAATTATATCACTCCCATGCCCAACTAAGTCATTGCCACAACTTAATTATCTCATTCCCATGTCCAGCTAAGTCATTGCCACAACTTAATTATCTCATTTCCATGCATAACTAAGTCAGGGCCACTACATAATTATCTTATTCTCATACTTTACCAATTCATACCATAGCTTAATTATATCACTCCCATGCCCAACTAAGTCATTGCCACAACTTAATTATTTCATTCCCATGCCTAACTTAGTCATGGCCACAACTTAATTATCTCATTCCCATGCCTAACTAAGTCATTGCCACAACTTCATTATTTAATTCCCATGCCTAACTAAGTCATTGCCACAACTTAATTATTTCATTCCCATGCCTAACTAAGTCATGGCCACAACTTAATTATCTCATTCTCATACTTCACCAACTCATAGCCATGGCTGAATTATTTCATTCCCATGCTTAACTAAGTCATTGCCACAACCTAATTATCTCATTCCCATGCATAACTAAGTCATGGCCACTACATAATTATGTCATTCTTATACTTTACTAACTCATACCCATAGCTTAATTATATCACTCCCATGCCTAACTAAGTCATGGCCACAACTTAATTACCTTATTCTCAAACTTTACTGACTCCTAGACACAATTGAATTATCTCATTTCAGTGTGTTTCTAAGTAATTATCTCATTCTCACACATTATTTCTATTAAGCAGGAAAGTCACCAGGGAAACTCCATATAAACTGAATTCTAAATAGAAAAGCTACAAACCAAAGCTCAACACTCGCCTTCTCACCTTACTTTCACCTCCTGCCCTGCAGAAACAGGACCATTAGACACCATTAGGACTAAAAACGAATAATTCTTCTTTCCAAGGGAAACTGGCTTAGTGGTTTCTATTAGTTTCCTGTAGAAGACCTTTGGAAAACCATCAGTGGCGTTTAGAACCAACCACTGGTCACCTGTTAAACCATTAGAGTCCTTTACACTGTGGAATCAACCCATTAAAAAAGCCTAAATACAAAACAGAACCATCAGGAACTGCTATCTGATGACCACAGCAGGTCATGCATATACTCCACAGAGAGTTTGCATACGTGGGTGGGCAGTGAAGTCACCAGCAAACCTGTTGAAACCTCCAAGCACCACCCCTATTCAGGCTGGCAGGCAGACAGGCAGGCAGACGAGCGAGGAAGCGAGGGGAGGAGATCTAGAGCAGCGAACGAGAAGGACAGCGTGAGCAGCCATGGAGAAGACCATCAAGGACCACCTGGTAGGCGCTCTGGACGACCTGAGCAGCGAGAACCTGAAGAAATTCAAGAACAAGCTGTGCGATCGTAAGGGGGAGCCTCGCGTGCGGCGCGGCAACGTGGAGAAGTTGGAGTACACCGTGGAGCTCGCGGACCTCCTCATCAACACCTTCACCACGAGGAGCGCCGTGCAGGTGACGGTGGAGATCTTAACGGCCATCGGCTGCAATCAAGTCGCAGAGGACCTGAAGAGGGACACCGAGGGCGGTGAGTGGTCAAAACAAGCTCGCTTTCATTTTCGCTGCTGCACTCTTCAGCTCGGCCGAGCAGGCTGAAGTTTGACACTGGGGGCTAAAGGTGGTCGCAAAAGTCATAAAACATGGATACTAACCTTTTTAGAACGACTTGGTTTAGTATCCACCTGCTTTTTGTTCGAATTTCCCGTTCCACCTTAAACAGTGCAGCAGTTACATTCAGGCGCCTCAGGCTCCTCACCATTTAAGGTGGAACGGAAAATTCGAACAAAAAGCTGAAGAAAATGTAATTTTTTGGGGGTAAACTTCACTGTGGTGGTCAAAATACTGACCCAAAGGGACAATCAACATCCATATCGAGCTGAATTGTTAAAAACACCAATAATAAGCTATTAATAATGACTATAATAATCTAATAACAGTCATTATACTGCACCCTTCTGGTACATGAACCCATTAATATGCACTCTTATTACATGGCATTACATACATCATCTCACAACCCACTGAAAGAAAGAAAACAAGAGCAGTTTACTCACAGGAAGTAGCCCTTCGCGAGCTGATCTGAGATCAGTTAGAAGAAGAAAAAAGTGACAGACAGCAGAAAAGGCTTCCTCTGTGTCGAAGTGTAAAGGGGTCAGGAGTTATGCAACTCTTTTTTTAATCTAAAGCAGACTTTTAATTTGTATTTTTATTATTCATTATCTGTATTACAGGATGAACTGGCCTTGTGTTGGAGAGGACTCTTATCGTGCCTACGAGTTCACTAAATTAGAAGATGCTGGGCTTAATTGAAACACGTTCATTAAATAAATGTGAAGCACAGAAATGTCTGCCATTGGTCTTTTTATTTTAAATTAAATAACGACAGTGAACAAATAGAGTTTGTTTTTTTAATGAAGTAAATAATATGAATTATTCAGCAACTGCTATGAATTATTCAATAGCTAATATGAATTATCCAGTAAATAATATTAATTATTCAATAAGTAATATGAATTATCCAGTAACTACTATGAATTATTCAGTAACTGCTATAAACTATTCAGTAGCTAATATGAATTATTCAGTAACTTCTATGAATTATTCACTAACTACTATAAATTATTCAGTAGCTAATAAGAATTAACCAGTAACCGCTATGAATTATTCAGTAGCTAACATTAATTTTTCTGTAAATAACATACAATTTTCAGTAAATAATATGAATTATCCAGTAACTGCTATGAATTATTCAGCAACTTCTATGAATTATTAATCATCTAATATGAATTATTCAGGAGCTAATATAAATTATTCAGTAGCTACTATGAATTATTCGGTAAATAATATGAATTATTCAATAAGTAATATGAATTATCCAGTAACTACTATGAATTATTCAGTAACTGCTATAAATTATTCAGTAGCTAATATGAATTATTCAGTAACTTCTATGAATTATTCCGTAGCTAACATTAATTTTTCTGTAAATAACATACAATTTTCAGTAAATAATATGAATTATCCAGTAACTGTTATGAATTATTCAGCAACTTCTATGGATTATTAATCATCTAATATGAATTATTCAGTAGCTAATATTAATTTTTGGTAATAAAAATTAATATGAATCATTCCATAGCTAATATGATTTTTCAGTAACCAATATAAATTAATCAGTAATAATCAAAATAATCAGTGCTTCTTTATGTTAAATAAACTGTGCTGCTGATGGAACTGAACGAATCGATGCGATGGAAACGATCTGGAACCAAACTTTGTTCTTCTAAACAGCTCACAAGATCTCAACTACCATAACTTCACAATAATATCTTTACTTTTTATAGCACTTTTCATGCCTGCGGCAGCTCAGGGTGTCTTACAGACAGGAGACAAAGCCAAAGAATTAATTTAGAATCATATAAGACGATAACACAGATCAGATCAAACAGATAAAGACCAGAGTCGTAGAGTTTAATGAAGCTCCGAGTTAAAGAGCCGTAGAGTTTAATGAAGCTCTGAGTTAAAGAGTCGTAGAGTTTTACTGAAGCTCCGAGTTAAAGAGTCGTAGAGTTTTACTGAAGCTCCGAGTTAAAGAGCCGTAGAGTTTTACTGAAGCTCTGAGTTAAAGAGCCGTAGAGTTTTACTGAAGCTCCGAGTTAAAGAGCCGTAGAGTTTTACTGAAGCTCCGAGTTAAAGAGTCGTAGAGTTTTACTGAAGCTCCGAGTTAAAGAGCCGTAGAGTTTTACTGAAGCTCCGAGTTAAAGAGTCGTAGAGTTTAATGAAGCTCTGAGTTAAAGAGTCGTAGAGTTTAATGAAGCTCCGAGTTAAAGAGTCGTAGAGTTTAATGAAGCTCTGAGTTAAAGAGTCGTAGAGTTTAATGAAGCTCCGAGTTAAAGAGTCGTAGAGTTTTACTGAAGCTCCGAGTTAAAGAGCCGTAGAGTTTTACTGAAGCTCCGAGTTAAAGAGTCGTAGAGTTTTACTGAAGCTCCGAGTTAAAGAGCCGTAGAGTTTTACTGAAGCTCCGAGTTAAAGAGTCGTAGAGTTTAATGAAGCTCTGAGTTAAAGAGTCGTAGAGTTTAATGAAGCTCTGAGTTAAAGAGTCGTAGAGTTTTACTGAAGCTCTGAGTTAAAGAGTCGTAGAGTTTAATGAAGCTCCGAGTTAAAGAGTCGTAGAGTTTAATGAAGCTCCGAGTTAAAGAGTCGTAGAGTTTTACTGAAGCTCTGAGTTAAAGAGTCGTAGAGTTTAATGAAGCTCCGAGTTAAAGAGCCGTAGAGTTTTACTGAAGCTCCGAGTTAAAGAGTCGTAGAGTTTAATGAAGCTCTGAGTTAAAGAGTCGTAGAGTTTAATGAAGCTCTGAGTTAGAGTCGTAGAGTTTTACTGAAGCTCCGAGTTAAAGAGTCGTAGAGTTTTACTGAAGCTCTGAGTTAAAGAGCCGTAGAGTTTTACTGAAGCTCCGAGTTAAAGAGTCGTAGAGTTTTACTGAAGCTCTGAGTTAAAGAGTCGTAGAGTTTTACTGAAGCTCCGAGTTAAAGAGTCGTAGAGTTTTACTGAAGCTCTGAGTTAAAGAGTCGTAGAGTTTAATGAAGCTCCGAGTTAAAGAGTCGTAGAGTTTTACTGAAGCTCCGAGTTAAAGAGCCGTAGAGTTTAATGAAGCTCCGAGTTAAAGAGTCGTAGAGTTTTACTGAAGATCCGAGTTAAAGAGCCGTAGAGTTTTACTGAAGCTCTGAGTTAAAGAGCCGTAGAGTTTTACTGAAGCTCCGAGTTAAAGAGTCGTAGAGTTTTACTGAAGCTCCGAGTTAAAGAGTCGTAGAGTTTTACTGAAGCTCTGAGTTAAAGAGCCGTAGAGTTTTACTGAAGCTCTTTTTGTTTGTTTGTCTTTTTATTTTGTTAATTTGACAGTGCAATGATGAGTCAGGTAGAGCTGAGTGATTTTGGCAAAATATCTAATTGTGATTTTTCTAGTCAATATTGTGATTACGATTTAAATTGCGAATGTTTTCTATAAACTGATGTTAAACTGATGGCCTTTTTTTCAGTCTAAGAAGACCAGCTAGTGCTTTTCTGTCTTAAGGCTTGAACACTTAACTTAGTGCACCAGCCTCCCGGTTATTTGTGGTTGTGATGATGCAGCAAACGGATGTCTGGCTGCTTCTCATTCATCGAATTTATCTAAAAGTAGCTCACAAGCTCCATGTGATTAGATTAAACTTCTCTACTTCCCTACTTAAACCTCACAACGTATCAACATTTACACTTAAAGAAGACGGTTCTTCAAGGGTTCTTTAGTAAAGAAAATGGTTCTATATAGAACCATGAACCCTCAAAGAACCTTCTGCATGATTCAGAGGTTCTTTGCATTGTGAAATGGTTCCTCAGATTGATGGAGAATGTCTTCTATATGGTTCTATATAGCACCAACAATGGTTCTTCTATTGTTATGTTTGACATCATAATAATAGACGAACGCTTTCTGGTAGAACCATCTACAGCATCGTTCTCCATCAATCTGAATAACAATTTCTCCATGATAATATCCGTTTAATCATGTAGAATGTTCTTTGAGTGTTCATGGTTCTATATTAAACCATTATCTTTAGTAAAGAACTCTTGGAGAACCATCTTTGTTGGGAGTGTTGTTCTTAACAGACTATCAAAGTTTTATAAAAATTGTAGCTGTTGTTATTTGAATATTGAACTCTTTCAAATTGCGATTTTAATATAAAAATGATTCATATTTCAGCCTTAAGTTTGTTAATTTACTGTAAACAATTAGTGTTAAATATTGTGAAACGTTGATAATAATTAACAGTGTATCTGTTTTCAGACGGTCCTGCGCCCCAGCCTGAGGTGCGGAACGACAATGTACCTGTGCCCCAGCCTCAGGTGCAGGACTCCGCTGTACCTGCACCCCAGAGGTCAGCAGGGGTGGCGAGGACTCCGCCAGGTGGTTACGATCAGCCGGACACTTCTGCAGTGCTTATTCCCAGCAGCCTGGAGTTCAAACAGACCGTCCTCAGAGAACAAGGACAGAAGGTCAGTGACCTCCAGCCTGAAGGAGTCACTTCACTCTTATTGTACACATTTAAAAAAGATGGTTCTTCAAGGGTTCTTTGGTAAAGACAATGGCTCTTAATAGAACCATGAACACTCAACGAACCATCTGTATGCTTCAGTGGTTCTTTCCATGGTGAAATAGTTCTTTGGATTGATGGAGAATGTGTTGTATATGGTTCTATGTAGGGCCTTTTTGAAAATGGTTCTATGTAGCACCAAAAAAGCTTGTTACAAGCTTGATATCATGACATTATAACAGTAGCAGAACCCGTTTTGGTGCTATATGGATACATTTTTAAAAAAGTTCTAGGTAGAACCATATACAACACGTTCTCCATCAATCTGAAGAACTATTTCACCATGGAAAGAACCACTGAAGCATGCAGATGGTTTGTTGAGTGTTCATGGTTCTATATAGAACCATTTTCTTTACTAAAGAACCCTTAAAGAATTATTTTTTTAGAGTGAACAATGTAAACAAACCAATAGCATTCAGATGAAACTAGGATGTTAATGCTAATGCTAGATATGCAGCTCACGGTCACTTTATGAGTCTAATTTAATAATATTTTGGGGCAGCACTGTGAAGGGGGTCTTTAGCCCCATGTTTGGGGGAACTTCTTGCTACTAAAGGTCTCACTTTATATTTTCACTTCAATAGAAAAATAGTTTTTTCCTGATTATTCAATCACAAAAAATACATCAGCTGACCTCTGAGCGTTGCAGGTGGAGTAAATCTCAGGGATACAGTGATGAATGAGGCCCAATGCAGTGATCCAGAATTTATTAGACCATAAACATTCAGTAAATGAGCTGAGAATACATTTGGCCCTATCATTTGACCAGGAGAGGAAATAAGGGGGGCTTCTTTCCCCCAGGTCACCCTATATCAGTCATATGCAATATTTTGTGTGATTTTTGGGGGGATCTTAACATGTACAAGCAAATTTACATACACATGTGTACAAAGTCTCAAAAGCAGTGATAGAATTACTTAACAAAGACAGAAGTTTAATATATAATCAAAAAACACGAATATATTATCATATCAGCTCAACAGGCCGCAGTGCCACACTGTGAACAATAGGAACTTTGGGCCTCATTAAGGAGACATTTCTGTGTCCAGAACTGACAGAGGACCAAACACACAACAATGTGGAGTCCAGACTAAATAAAGGATATAAATGCTTTGTGGAGAAATTCCTTCACAGCTGTCAGAGCACAGTAACGTCAGCTACGTCTACAGAGAGATAAATCAGTGGAGGTGAAAATAGCTATAACCAAAACGCTGGATTAGCCATGTTAGCTGGAGATGCTGAAACAGCTCTCTAACAATAAACTAGTTAGCCAAAAGCTAAACATGCACACACACCAGCAGGGGGCGCCGGGTCGTCAGGGTCCGTAGTGCCACAGTAGACGTTATAAACACTGAATGAACATCTGCTCCCGCTGAGCTCTCGCTCTCTCAGATACCGACAGCTTTAGAGGGAGAAAATGAAAACTGTTCCTCTGAAAGCGGCTGAAGCAGCAACTTTACAGCACAAACTGCACGTCAACGTTAGTGAGCAGCGCTGAAACACAGACACAGAGGTTCTTTTACTCCGTATGACAAAGTTTATTCTTTTATTAACTGCACAAACTCATTTCTCCTCTGCTTATCATCAGCTGGCAAACCACTGAAACTGAGATGAGGCTGTTTTCGCTTCAAGCTCGAACACTTGAGTGAGCTGAACACGCTCTACTCATCATCACTGTTGCTTTAGCAGGAGAAAATGTGAAGAGGGCCTATTCTGTGCTTTAAGAACACGTCATGAATCTGACGTAGACTTTTTCTCCGGATCACATTTAAGAACAAGCTTATGAAGATGTTGATGAATGAGGCCCAATGAATGTTTTTTTATCCTGTTCACTCTCTGAGATGTACAATCACCAGTGTAACTCACTGTAGGCGGCTGTTTCTCAGCGTTGCTCCTGTGTTCCTCCTGCACCCAACATTTTGCACTCTTTCTGCTCAAAAATGCCCGTTTTACCCTCATGAAGGCTCTGTTAATGAGTGGACGAGTTCAGGTGGAGCAGGATTGGGAAATGCTGGGTAAAGCTTCTTATCTGTGAGTGTGTCAAGGGCACGACTTCAGCAGGACATTCTTATCTTCTGACACCTCAGTTCCTCACTCTCACAACTGCTGAACTTAGACATTGGTTTCAGAGTAGATAATTCAGATCAGACACTGAATAATTTGTAGTAGATAATGATTGCTTCTTATACAGTTATTAATCTTTATAAGACTTTATTTTAGTTATTATTTATTTATTCAGGATTACTGTAAATGTTTCAGCATCTACTCTAAATTGTTCAGTGTTTTATTAATAGTGCTTGTGTCATACAGTGGATCATACATGATATGTGCATAACTATGAATAGACAAAGCTAATGGTAGCGTGTACTGTTTGTCAGATTTACCCTGTTCTAGATAAGGCAGTGAGGAAGCGTTTGGCTCTGCTGATCAACAACGTGGAGTTTGACTGTAAGGAAATGAAGAGGAACGGAGCTCAGAGAGACGAGGAGAACATGGAGAAGCTGCTGAGAGGTCTGGGCTACGACGTCGTAAAACACACCAACCTCTCCGGACAGGTTTGAGAACACAACTTCCATTCATCTGTATCAGGCAGAGTTTATCTGTAGGCCTACAATCGAAATGTATGAACCCCTGAGTGGAGCCTGTTACTGCAGTTGTCTTGTCTCCTCTCTCAGGTCCCCTCTGTGTTTCAGTGCTGATATGATTAGCATCAACAGGCCCATATTTATCAAGAGTCTCAGAGTAAAAACAGTCGTCTAACATCAGGTCTCAGCTTCACGCGGGGATATCAAAGGCGTTGACTGACCCCAGATCATCATTCTTACTCTGAGAAGTTTGATACATATGAGCCCAGATCATGCTAACAGCCATATTCTCCATCAGAGAAAGAGTTTCTTCATTACCATGATCTTAAAATAGGGTGACCAGAACGGACTGTTTTCCAGGGACAGTCCCTGTTTTTGGTGGCTAGAGCTGTCCCCCGTTTTTAACTGTGCGTTTAAAACACTGTGGAACATCTTAAAAAAGACCTGCAGCAGAGCAGACAGGCAGACATCTTGCATTCTGCTTGTTTTGTCCAGCAGAGGGCGCTGCTGCTAGTAACCACTTCTACCACACGCTTGCCTAGTTTTAGAGAACACTGCTGTGTAAAACTCCACCAGAAGGTAACCAGGAGAGTCCACAACATCACCACAAACGTCTTCTCGAGACACAAGGTGACCCGGGGGTTATAGCAGAGGTGGAGTTACGGGACCTTGAATGTAGCCACCATGAGATCCACAAATAGTGCATCATTTTTTTAACTGCTTCACTTTTTCAGCCTCCATATAAGACATATGGCTCATGCTGATATCAGCGACTCTGTCTGTCCAGAACTGGAGCTGCCCAGGGGTGTGTTTTGGATATTGACCTATTAGCTTCAATATGGTAGCTACTGTATGATTTCCTGACACGGTTTACAAAGTTACTTAGCTAGTACCCAGTTTTGTCGGCCTTCACCATAGTTTATTACAGTACAGCTGATACCATGATCAAAACTCGTAGATAAAAACACTGGATGTTTTAATGATATAGTGACCGCCGAACTGGACATGTCCCCGGTTTTCATGTCAGAAATCTGGTCACCTTATCTTAAAACCTGTTCTTTCTCTTTAACTTGGGTTACAAGTTTCCCTGATTGTAACTTTCTTGTTTACATCATAAACATTCCGACGGCTGGTCATAATATCAGATGGCTAAATGTCTGTTATAAACTGCAAACATAAATGTAGTTATGTTATAACTGAAGTTTGGGGGGGAGGAACACGCCTTAAACCCCTCCTTCTTCCAGTAAAACGCCCTATATACTGTGTCCCAATTCAGGGGCTGCATGTGTCCTTCGAAGGCTGTGTAGAGGCGCGAAGCCTGAACCGAAATGAGACGTTCTGCTCTACGGCGGATTTCCTGTTTGTGTCACAGCACCGCTGTTCCCGCCCTCACCGAAACGCCTCACAAAACGCAGCTTATGTCAAGTTCTTTTGAAGTTCTTCAAAGATGGGGCCCAAAACTTTGATATTTGTTTTTTTTTTTCATTTATTAGAGCTGGAGATGCTCCTCTCTGTCGGGCTCTTTGCTCCCTAAAACAAAACGAAACATTGGTTTAAGTTTTGCTTCAGTCCACATTGGCTTTTTAACATCTGTATTGTTTGCTATTCGACTCTGCTGACTACGCCATGTTCTCGAATCCTCTCTGGCACACAGTGAACCTCGGGATATGCTGGCTGGTGAAGGATCCACCCGTTGGATCCTTCGTTGCCATGGAAAAGAAAGACACATTTGTCGGCCGCATATGAACAAGGCTTCGAAATGGGACGGCCTAGTCGCACCGCTGTGACGCAGTCGGCCTTCAAATGCAGCCTTCGAAGGATGCAGCCCCTGAAGTGGGATACAGTTGGGATAAATTCACATCCTCACCTTCCGTTACCATGACAAAGAGTTTGCAGTCTCCACCACCGCCTCATCTCCTTTTCTCAGTCCTACATCAGTCCTACTACAGCTACAGGGGGGGTCCGGCCTTCTAGCTACAGACAGAAGCCGCCCAGAACTCCAACCCACCTTCTCAGAGATCTCTCCCTCCCTTCCTTTATCAGTCTTCCCTCATACCACCACCATGTTGAAGGCATGATTCGAACTCACAAACACATACTGCAGATCGCAATAGGGTGCTAATAGAAACTAGCGCTAATACAGTGGTGCAGATCAGATAAATCCAGGCTTCTTATAAAGCTGTTTAAAATGTTTTTGACATTTAATTGCAAACTTACATCCGACCTCCAACATAAACAACACTTAAAAGAGATGGTTCTTCAAGGGTTCTTTAGTAAAAGCAATGGCCCTATTTGGAACCATGAGTTCTATATAGAACCATTTACATGGTGAAATTGTTCTTCAGATTGACAGAGAAAGTGTTTAATATGGTTCTGTATAGAACCTTTCTGAAAATGGTTGTATACAGCACTTCTTGGTGCTATATAGAACCATATACAACACATTCTCCACCAATCTGTAGAAACAGTTCACCAAGAGTTTTTAAAGCTTGAAATGGTTCTTTGAGTGTTCATGGTTCTGTCTTTACTAAAGAACCCTGGGTAAGAGTGCTGGGTAAACAGAAGTCCAAAATAATTCGCTTCTAGTCATTTGTTGCTATTAACCCTGGTGTGGTGTTGATGTGTTTGTTACTCAGTGGTCTGGTGATCCACCGCATTATTGATTTTTAAATAATGACCATAACAATTCATGGAAAAATACCAGATGTTTAAAATATCATAAATGTCCAGCATAGGGTTCTCCTTTAGCAGCTGTAGCCAGTCAGCAGCCTGTCCATGTTGTCCACCACATGTGTAATATAAATGTGTGGGGGGTGAACAGTGTGAAGTCACTGAAAATGGGTTATTTTATATGTTCTTCACAGAAAATGAGCAAAGGCCAAGAAATCTGAGGCTGAAATAATAATAAATCACTTCATTTTTATTCTGGTAAACAAAATAAATGGGCCCCACAGACCCCAACACCACACAAGGGTTAGATAAATCAATGTGGATGCTAAAAATGAACTCTAATTGTGAAAACTGTCTTTGAAAGAGACGGACGACCACCAGTCCATTTATACCATCTGCCCCGGTTACAATCGAACCTGAACTTAGGAAGAATTCATGAGAATTTCGTTTAATTCAGGAGTGGTGTTCCTGTAAACATGTCCCCCTCAGATTAACTCAACCACAGACAACTTATCAAACGAGTTGGCTCACGCACGTTCCTGCAGATTTGGAGAGAGTTTCTGAGAGCTTGCTGTAACCCGCTCTGAGTCGTTTGCTGCGACCCTTTTTCTAACTAGGGCCTTCAGTAGCTTTCTATCATTCACATTAGCACCCATTTAATACACCTGAGACATAATTACCTCCAGAATCCTTCTAAGTTCTTTACGTTTGCAACACCAGAAATAAATGTAAAAATATTTCAAAGACCTCATTATGTAATTGCAGTTTGTCATTGAATTGGTTACCACGTAAGACCTGTAATCTGACTGTCTTTGCAGGAAATGGACGAGGCGGTAAAAAGCTTTGCTGGACGTAGTGAGCACAAAGAATCAGACAGCACCTTCGTGGTTATAATGTCCCACGGCAAGAGAGACGCCATTTTGGGGGTCCATTATGGAGTAAACAACCTGACTGACGTCCTCCCTGTCGATAATATCTACTCCCACCTGAACTCGCAGAACTGTCCAGCTCTCATCAACAAACCCAAAGTGATTCTAATTCAGGCCTGCAGAGGAGGTATTTATAATATTTATTATTATTTTCCCTCATATTTCCACAGACGACTTACAGTGAAGAGAAACAAGTATTCAGATGCCTTTTGTTGTTATTTAATGAACTTCCAGTGCAAAAATCCACTTCAAATTTACACACATACAGGCACTTATCCATCAAAATTCATCTGACACTGACAGCTTTGTTATTCATCAGTTTCATCTTTGGCATATCTGTATGATCAAACTCATGTCTGGTGTAAATTTGACCGCAAGACCTGATCAAAATGCTTGATTTATGGTTAACTAACCAAAACTATCTTTAATATCATCTATAGTACCAATAATAAGAGTAAAAACAGTTAATAACACCAATAATTTGTGCAGTACTTATTTTACATGCACATTAATATAAACAAAAGCTCCACTTATTCCATGTTCCATTCAAAAACATTTTACACTGTGCTTTTGTTTATACTACTGACTCCGCCCACAAAATAAACACTACAAAACACAGCTTGTGTCATCCACTGCAATAGTACAGTGTTTAAATATGTTCTTTTAGACAAATAATCATTCTCTTTTTACTGACAAATTGAGAGAATCACATTTTTTCAGTTGTCGTAATTTTAACACTGGAAAGTTTGGTCAGTAGGGGGAGCAGTGCCAACAACGGCTTTTCAACAAAGTACCTCTGTTACTAATTTGTGGTGTCTGAAAACTTTTTTCCTATGAGTTTAATTTTTTAAATATGTCTGAAAATGTGTTTATGCGAATAAATACAAATGGTTTGGTTCACCTTTAAAGGTACAAAGTCAAAATACTTTAGATGTGCACATGTGAAGTGGATATATGGACTAGAAGTGTATTAAATAACAAATAAAAAGTATTTGAACACTTTTCCCCTCACTGTATTTGAATCTGTTGACCCATCTAAGGTTGGACAAAAGAAATTGGACAAAAACCCCATGCAGTATTGTACCAACTCGATTTCTAACCAGGAAGTTCACAGCTTCAGCTGTTTTAGTGTTGCTAGCTAGCTAGAATAACATCTTAGCCACTTGCTACTTTCATGGCTCAAGTTACTCTAAGGGATTTTTGGCACCAGCATTAGGCCTGTCCATTCTGGAACAGCTAGAAGGGCCTGATGGAAACCTAGGAAGACCAGCCAGGAGTGAGCAGCAGCAGCTACGTCTTAAAATGGAAGGTGATTTAACAAGCACCTGGATGGCCTCCCTGGAGAGAGTCAAATCCTCAGATACTCTTGAGGAGAAACCTGCACTACCTATTTTTGAGAAGGGTAACTGAGTATTCAGAACTTCACAGAGGCTTTGGACATTTTCAGAAGGATTGACCTTGTATCTCCAGAGATGTATAGCAGCTCAGTCATGATGGGAGTTCATCTTCAAGCATGTCAGGATGCGAGTTAAGCATAATCAGCGTAGTTATGGTAGGAGAAGAGACGATATTACATCACCAAGGGAACAGGTCTAAAGGGAAAAGAGGACCCAGTACTGAGCCTTGTGGGACACCTCAGTGTAGAGTCTGAATTTTCCATGTTGACTGATGGGAGTGCACTTCCAGGATTTTCAGAATTCCAAGTGTTGGTTAAGGTGCACAGGAGGATGTGGGATTAACGACATTTTGGTGGATCTTGCAGCATGGAGGCTCTCAGTAACTGCCATGAATTGCCTGGGGTTCAAGTCAATCTACAAGCCACAACTAGTTACAGTTTCTCGTTAGTTCAAATGCCATTTTCCAGCCTTTTATAAACCTTGTCCAACTTCACGGTAGAAACCAAAGAACATATTTGTGGGTGGAGCTTGAACAGGGCAAGTCTGATTAAAACCTTAATCTAATTAATCTGTTCAGGTGAGAATGGCAGTGTGTGGGTTGCTGATGGTGAACCAGGCCAGTTGTGGAACATGGAGAGTGACGTGTGGGAGCACAAGGAGAAGGACTTCATCTCCCTGCTGTCCTGCACACCTGGTGAATAAAACTACTGGCTTATCCCTGTTTGATTAGATTAAACATTTGGTATATGTCTTTGTTTAGACGACACTTATAGTTTATTCTTTTGTTTAGACCAGGGGTGCCCAAGGTTTTTGTCTTGGGGGACCACAATGTAATGTTTGTAGTGGGCCAAAAGCCAAAACAGCTAGTTAGCAACTGGCTAGCTTTACATTTCTGCAAGGTTGCCAGTAAATATGGACAAACTGTATCTATCTTGCCTTGTGGTCTCTCCTTAAATCTCCTTATGTCCATGACCACCACCTGACCCGCTCTGTTAGCTCATATTTGTTGTTAAATCTGCATCACAATCACAACTGTATAGTGTCAAGAGTCAGATATAACATAACGTCACACTTTTTATTTTGATACTTCAAAATTACATTTGTGTGGGGGGTTAGGCAGCTTTCTGGCAGGCCAGATTACATGTTCTTGTGGGCCAGTTTTGCCCTGTGGGCCCCACTATGGTCAGCCCTGGTTTATTTTCCTTTGTTTCATGCTAAATTTTGTTTTATCTTTGTCTGAGCCGGTTGAATTCTACTCTAAACTACTGGCTGGTCAGTTACTTTTGTCTTTACATATTCAATTTCTGCTGTTGGCTGCTGTATATTGCATCCTGTATCAACCTGATCTCATGAAATAACATAGAAATAATCTGGAAATAACCTAGAAATTCCTAGAAACAGCACCAAGCTAGCTCTGTAAGATTTCATACAAATCAAATGATAAGAAAATATACAACTGCTAAACTCACTCCATCCCTAATCCGAACCATCTTCAGCAAATTCTTCCAAATATGCACTCATAAGATTCCTGGATGTTGTTCGAACCGTGTCTGTTGGGTGAAGAGTTTTCTTTTAATGATTACCGTAAACACGTTTGCCTTTTGTCCACAGATACCAAATCTTACAGGCACAAACTGAATGGATCTCTTTTTGTTGGATTCCTGGTGGAGGTGTTCAACGCTAACGCCAACAAGGATGACATCGAGGAGCTGTTCCGACAGGCAGGTTTAAACTGGACATGATGTTTAAACTTATGTTTAACAGAGAATACTAGTTCGAGTCTGATGTGCTTCTCCTGTCCTGTAACAGGTTATGAGGCGTTTCGAGGAATTCGGGATGCTGAAGCAGATGGTGTGTAAGGACCGCACCACTCTGCTGAAGCTTTTCTACCTTTTCCCTGGACTCTGATGCTCCGAGTCACTCAGTGCGTCTTAAAGTGGAATTCTCACTTTGTTAACTGTGATATTTTCTTCCAAATTGCCTCTTTCCTTAATGTTCTCTTAAATCATAGAAACCTCTCTGTCCTCTGGTGCCTACGGGAGCAGGTCAGCAAAATGTCAGCAATATGCTTGTAATAGGTTAGTAATATACCAGTAATATTCCAGCAAAATATTAGTAGTAGGTCAGTGACATGTCAGTAGAATACCAGTAATGTTAGTAATATGACAGCAATGTATTAGTAATATTTGACAGATAGGTCAGTAATATGCCAGTGATATAACACCAATACTTCAGTAAAGCCCTATTGGAGCTGGATTAGTTTGACCAGAGGAGGTCCGGTAATGTTGTTTTTGTGTGATTTAACTAGCCAATTCGCACAGAATAAAGTTTAATGGTTTCCCCAAATTACCTCAAAAGCCCGTCTCGAAACATTGCGTGGACATTTGCATCAGCATTATGCGACAGGTGCCACGCTACTGAACAATAACAACAGGCTAATTGATATATAGACTAACGTTAGGCTAGTAAGTGGGTTCATTTAACTTACCAAATGCCGCCCAACAAGACAGAAAACACACTGCCTTGCGAGAGGTTGTCCTTGTAATTTGGCCATCATGAACTTGAGGATTAAGGAATTGGTCAAATTGAGCTCCATTTAGCTGTTAGCCTCGTCGTCAAGTCACAAAAAAGAAAATAAAGGCAGGCCCTGTAATTTTCCCATTCCACCTTAAATGGGGCAGATGCCATAATGTTGCTACTGCACCATTTAAGGTGGAACGGGAAATCTGAGATGCCAGAATGTAACTGCTGCACCATTTAAGGTGGAATGAGAAAATTCAAACAGCAAGCCGAAAAAGAGTAAGACAACTTCAGCCTTGTCTGTTTTCTATGACCCACTTTTGTTATTACAGTACTGAGATGTCAATTCGAGCAGGACTGCTATTACTGAGCTCTGAGTTGGCAGTTTATAGGAGGTAATTCACTCCAGAATTATTGTAAAAAATATGGACATAACAGATTTGTACTGGATTAAAATCATGGATTTTGACCATAATCACTCAGATTACGGCACCTCCCCATGTTATACTAAGCCTGCTTGAAAAGAGCTTAATATGTCAATGATATGTCAGTAGCATGTTAGTGATATGTCAGTAAAATGTCAGGAATATATCAGCAATATGTCAGTGATATGTCAGCAAAATTCTAGCAATATGTCAGTGATATTTCAGTAATGTGTCAGTGATGTCAGTGATATGTCAGGAAAATTTCAATAAAATGTCAGTAATATTCCAGCGGTATGTCAGTGATATGTCAGGGATATGTCTGTAATATACCAGCAATATATCAGTGACATGTCAGTGATATGTTAGTGATATGTCAGGGATATGTCAGGAAAATGTCTGTAATATATCAGCAATATGTCAGGGATATGTCAGGGATATGTCAGTAATGTACCAGCAATATGTCAGGGATATGTCAGGGATATGTCAGTAATGTACCAGCAATATGTCAGGGATATGTCAGGGATATGTCAGTAATGTACCAGCAATATGTCAGAGATATGCCAGTGACATGTCAGTAATATACCAGCAATATGTCATTGATATGTTAGTGATATATCAGTGATATGTCAGGGATATGTCAGGGATATGTCAGTAAAATACCAGCAATATATCAGTGATATATCAGTGATATGTCAGTAATATACCAGCAATATGTCAGCATATGTCAGTGATATGTTAGGGGTATGTCAGCGATATGTCAGGGATATGTCAGTAATATGTCAGCAATATGTTAGTGATACGTCAGGCATATGTCAGCGATATGTTAGTGATATGTCAGTGATATGTCAGCGATATATCAGTGATATGTCATGGATATGTCAGGGATATGTCAGCGATATATCAGTGATATGTCACGGATATGTCAGGGATATTGTAACCATTTGCCTAGAGAACCCACTAGGTAATTAGGGTTGTAACAGGATGGTTACAATATGTCAGTGATATGCCAGGGATATGTTAGTCAGTGTGCTGGTTTTCCTGACATCACAAAAGCGATGAATTCCAAATAGTTTCATTTCCATATATGGACTGAATAGACTGAAAAGCAAAGCTTATGTTTTGGTGCTTTAACAGTGTTTGTCACCTATATCTACTACTCTTATTTCAAGAAAGCGAGGGAATTTTGATTTTCCATAATGTGATCACTTTAATGTACATGTGAAGTAATGAAGACTTAAAAATGTGCAGAAAAGTGTCATTTAAAGACCAACATGTGGAGCCTGTGCCGTTAAATACAGTTTGATAACATATAATGATCCTGCAGTGCCCTTCATATAAAGTGCTGTAATTGCAGTTTTAAATAAAGAGACATTTTGGTTTGAAAGTTATTCTTTGTGATCATTTTCACTGTTAATGAAAAGATTCTGCTTCAGAAATTATAGAATTAAATATTTGAAAACATCTTAAAATGTTTTTTATTTTAAAATTGAAGCATTAAAGAAACGTCAAATTGAAATATTTTACATCCTCCAGATGGATTTCATAGGTTTGATTTGGAGGAAAATCCTACAGAATCACTCAGATTCAGGCAAGTTTTTATAAAGGTTTTTTTTTTAAAAGGATTTAAGCTTTCAGAACAAAAATAACCAAAGTTGAATAAATATTTTAATATTAAAGTTAATATTACTTGCAAATATTTATATTGAATTTCAGACTTAATTAACAATTAAATTGAATATTTTTCAGCAATTAGTTTTCCAACTTTTTAAAGTAAACTCAGCGTCTTACAGTCTGCTGTGAAGGATAAAGATAAAAAATAGCACAAACATCTTCAGAATGAATCAGGAAATAATACTGAATTGTATGTGTTATTATATCCAATCATATCCTGACTGTTTAACTCCCCAGCTGGACTGTTTATAGGCTCAGTAAGAAGCTACAGCACAATGTGAAGATTTCATTTCTCAATGTAAAAGATATTAACAATATCAGACTCAGCACCACTATAAATGATGAGAAACTATGACTACGTTAAAGACTTGAGCTGCAGGAATGGCTGAGATGAAGCAGTTCCATAGGGAAGAAAGGTCCAGTGTTCCTCATGAATGTCGTGCAGGTCCGATCCGCAGCTACCGGAAAAACTTGAAGTTATTGCTGCCAAAAGAGGTTCAACAAGTTATTGAATCTGGTGGTTCATTTACTTTTTCCACCAGCACTCTGAACGTTTAATCGGTGTGCACAATAAACACACAAAAGATTATGATTGCTTGTGTGTCATTACCTTTCGCCAGTTGTTTTTGTCAGTACTTGTGACTCGGAAGAAGAACAGATCATATTTTATGACCAATTAATTAATAAAACTAGGCCATTCCAAAGGGCAAGGCAAGATTATTTATACAGCACCTTTCATTCACTGCTGTCATTCAAAGAGCTTTACAAAGGAGAAAATACAGTCAGAGTGGTTTAAAAACAGTAAAAATAGAAAAACATAATTAAAAATAACATTAAAACATAATTAAAACATGATTAAAGCAATAAATTTAAAAGAGAAAATTATTAAATTAAAAAAAATTAACGCTGCTGCTCAAACAGGATCGTTTTCAGGCTGATTTAAAATGTCCAGTGTTGGGGCTCTTCTAATGCTCTCTGTCCACTGGGTCCATTTAAGAGCAGCGTAGTATCTAAACGCTGCTTCTCCATGTTTAGTCTTCACCTTCAGCAGTGCTGACTGACCAGTTCCTAATGATCTGAGAGTTCTGCTCGTCTCAAATCGCTGCAGCCGATCAGATAAATACGCTGCTCCTGCACCATTTAGACATTTATAGAGCAGTAACAGCACCTTAATGTCTATTCAGGAACAGGCTGGTGTATGGATTTAAGAATGGGGTGTCCTTCTTTTACTCACAGTAAGACTCTGGCAGCTGCATTCTGAATCAACTGAAGTTGTTTGATTGTCTTTACTGGGAGTCCAGTTAAGAGACCATTACAGTGATCAATCCTGCTAGAAATAAAGGTGTGGATGAGGTTCTCCAGCTCTGCTTTAGTAAAAATATCTCTCTGATCTTGTTGATATTTTTAAGGTGATAAAAAGCTGATTTAGTAACTGCTTTGACGCGACTGCTAAAACTGAGATCAGATTCATGTTACATACTAGCTCTTTAGATTTTAGGCCTCAAATCCAGGCAGCTACATTGAGCCCCTCGTTGCTATTCCCAAATAAAATAATCTCTGTTTTATCTTTATTCAACTACAGAACGTTTTGTTCCATCCAGTTAGTGATGAGCTCAAGGCACTTACAGAGTGAGTCAAGTGAACATTAGTTGTTTGGGAAAAGGGCCGAGTAGATCTAAGCATTATCTACATAGCTGTGGTAAGATTCCTATAGTCTTTTAGTATTTGGCCAGGACACAGCATGTATAAATTGAATAAGAGTGGCCCAAGAATTGAACCCTGGGGGACACCACAGGTCACTGGCACTCTCTCAGAAAGATTGTTTTCAATTTCCACAAAGAAGTTCCTTCCTTGCAGGTATGAACTGAACCATTTTAGGACAGATCCTGAGAGCCCAACCCAGTTCACATCGAAGGTAGTATCGAAGGTAGCGCAGAGATCGAGCAGTAATAGAACAGATGTTTTTTCCAGTGTCTGTATTTAAGCAAATGTCATTAATAATTTTGATTGGTACTATGATTAGGCCGAAATCCTGACTGAAATTTGTCTAGGGGACATAAAGACAGTAAGTTCCTTGATGACAATTTTCTCAATAATTTTTTGAATTATTTTTCTTAATGTGCCTTAAAACAGACATATGTAAATGAGCTCTGCTCTAAAAGACCACCCTCATTCAGGAATGCAGTCTAAGCTGAAACACTCCTTATAAAGTCAAAATGGGCTGTTTTTGCAGCTTAGTTTCCATATATATATAATAAATATAACAAATTAACACATTAATAACCTGATAACTGCAGAAAATCAGATTGTGTCAGTAACTGGTTCAGTGTGTTTACACTTAATAATCTGATAAATGCAGAAAATCAGACTGTGTCAGTAACTGGTTCAGTGTGTTTACACTTAATAATCTGATAAATGCAGAAAATCAGATTGTGTCAGCAACTGGTTCAGTGTGTTTACACTTAATAATCTGATAACTGCAGAAAATCAGATTGTGTCAGCAACTGGTTCAGTGTGTTTACACTTAATCTGATAACTAGAGAAAATCAGTTTGTGTCAGTAACCGGTTCAGTTTGTGTTTACACTTAATAATCTGATAACTGTAGAAAATCAGATTGTGTCAGTAACTGGTTCAGCGTGTTTACACTTAATAATCTGATAACTGTACAAAATCAGATTGTGTCAGTAATCGGTTCAGTGTGTTTACACCTAATAATCTGATAACTGCAGAAATCAGATTGTGTCAGTAACCGCTTCAGTGTGTTTACACTCACAGAATAAGACACAAACGCGACATAAAACTCAAACGTCATGCTGCATCTTTTTTGAAAAGATCAAGTCACTTTAGTGGAAAATATGAACACACTTTGTGTAGAAGATGAAGAATATTTAAATCCTTCATCTCGTTGAGCATGTATTTGGTTTAGCGCCGCTCCAAAGTGCTGTGCTGCGTCTCACGGGTGCTGTGTTAAACGTTGCTTGCTGTTACCAGGACGGTGCTCTTTTTTGCACATGCTCAGACTGAGAGAAATGAAAGAAATCAGAGTGAGAGTTTACAGCACTGAGAAACCCCATTACTGACTCAAATCCAGCCTCTTCATCAGATTTCTTCATCAGATTTAGAGACCTTAATCTGATCTAAGAAAACAGAGTGTGCTGTTTACATGACCACTGAATAATCAGAGAACTGCAGAAATCTGATAATGATCAGATTATTAAGTGCATGTAAACACACTCAATGTTGAAATACCACATCAAACTCTTTTATTTTAACAAGATTATGTGGGCCTTTAAAAGCCTGTACACTTGAAAAAGATGGTTCTTCAAGGGGTCTTTGGTGAAGACAATGGTTCTACATAGAACCATGAACACTCAAAGAACTATTTGCATGCTTAAAGGGTTCTGGAGAATAGAGAATGTGTTCTATATGGTTCTATGTAACACCAAAAATTGTGTTTTGTCAAGTCTGTTGTCAAAAGTTTTTGACAACAGAAGAACCCTTTCTGTTGCTATATAGAACCATATGCAACACATTCTCCATCAACCTGAAGAACCATTTTACCATGCACAGAACCACTTGGAAGAACTCTTGGAGAACCCTTGCAAAACCGTCTTTAAAAAAAATCTTAAAATGTCTCTTACAGTGTAAACGCCGTTGAGTCCACTTCCTGTCCACTTTATAAGAAATCTTATATCAGTTATGCCAGTCAGAAACCACTGCTCGTCTGGAAACTCTGAACTGCGCATGCGCGGCACACCTGAGCCGCCAGGTGAGCCTGGTTTCGTTTTCTCTGATCTCAGCGCTCCAGACTTTCTTCTTCTGTTTTTCTGCTAGTTTCCTCTCGCGCGCTGCTGTGAACCATGTCCAAATCCGCGCGGGACGTCCTGCTCGAGGGTCTGGACGATCTGACCGACGAGCAGTTTAAGAGGTTCACCGACAAGCTGATTGACTCTCGCCTGGAGCCGCGCGTGCGGCGAGGCGCCGTGGAAAAGAAGGACCGCTTAGACGTCACGCGCATTATGATAGACACCTACACGGAAAAGCGCGCGCTGGGGGTCGCAGGGGATCTGCTGAAGGCGATAGGATGTAACCAGCCAGCGGAGGATCTAGAAAAGGAGGCAGCAGGTGAGGAGGAGGGGGGGGACGAGGGTTCACGCGCAGTTATCATTCTGCATAATTAAATAATTAAGATAAAATCATTCAGAGTGGTTAAAACGATTCGTTCTACATTCTTAAAAATATGGTTCTCCAAGGGTTGTTTAGTAAAGGCAATAGAACCATGAGTTCTATGTAGAACCATTACGTGTTTAAATGGTTCTTTGCATGGTGAAATGGTTCCTCAGATTGATGGGGAATGTGTTGTATAAGGTTCCATACAGCACCAAAAAAAGGGTTCTCCTATTGTTACGAATTTGACGTCATAACAAAAGCAGAACCCTTTTGGGTGCTATATAGAACCCTTTTCAAAAAGGTTCTATATAGAACCAGATACAGCTCATTCTCCATCACTCTGAAGAAACCTTTCATGATGCAAAGAATCCATTCAATCATGCAAAGGGTTCTTTGAGTGTTAATGGTTCTATATAGAACCATTGGAGAACTATCTTTTTTTTTAAGAGTGTAGAATAACTGGGGGTGGATTGCTGACCAGGTCAGTGGGGCCAATGGCCAGGAAACTTTCACTGCCCGAAGTGACTGCAGAAGTGAAATTTAAGTATTTATTTGTAACAATTTTGGAGATTTGATTATAAATAAATAAATAAATAAATAACAGCGACGTATGATGGAAAATACTTTTTTATTTCTTTATTAAAGGTGGTATTAATCATAATACAGCTAAATATAGTGTAAAGCTCGCTCCCAACAACATACATCAAGAAAAATCTTGATATTATAATATATTTTGTAATGAAACCCTCCAAATAAACACTCTCAGAAATAAAGGCACTAAACTGTCACTGGTGTGGTTCCCCTCTGGTCACTGGGGTGGTTCCCTCAAGGCTCCATCTCAGTACCTTTAGTCAGGGAACATAACTGAACCATAATCCACTGAAATGATATGTTCTAAGCTGTACTGACTCCACACACCCCGTCTCGTCTCCAGGCTTTTATTTTACTGTTCTGTTTAAAACATTCGGTTATGAAAACGTACAAATACGAACTTTTCACCTGGAGAAACTGATTTAAGGTTCACAATCAGACCTTAAAACCACTGTTGGACCTTTGAGGGAACATTTACAGTGTTTGTACTATAATGAATGAGAAATATACCTAAACAGAACCTTTATTAATAACAGTGTATGAGCAACGAAATAAATGAAATAAATATAGAAATGTTATCTGTTCTCAGGACACTCAGCCCATCACTTTTCAGAGGGTGCTATTCTGTGCATGACTGTGGCCAATGTGATAAAAACTGACCAGAAAACAATGAAAAGTCTTTCAGCATGAAGAGAAGAGTCAATAACGGATCAGTGCTGGAAGAGCAGAGCTTCAAAGAGAAAAACAAAGAAAGAAAAACACCTGATAACAATGTAACACAGAAGCACATCGTTTTTCAGAGTGTAAACTGCTGATTATAAACACGGGACGGTCAACATAGATTAATAGATAATATTTTTGGTGAAAATTGAATTCTAAATAGAAATAGTCCAAAATTTTAAGGTTTAGTAAGCTACGTTAACAGACTTGTTATATTTTTCCTTCTCCTTTAAAGTTACTTTTTTAGGGCTTGCTCTCACTCTATTTGTATGATTTCAGCTTTAGATCTTGAGGAACATAAGCAACCGCCTCATAAGGAACCTGAGGAACGTCCTCCTCCCGGCCCACAGCCAAACACCAGCTCTCCTCTCATTCACTGCACCCCACAGTTCAAAGACAAAATCCTCAAAGAAAAAGGACAGGAGGCAAGTATCTCTTCAGAAAAGGCAGTTCCACTAGTTCTTCAGCATAACTCAGTGTGTGAGATGTAAACAGAGAGATTCAGAGTGGTTTGGTGTGAAATGGTTCAGATGTCTTTACAGTGGTGGTGATAGGAACCAGGGGTCACCATGACTACAACACAAATGTAGACATTTTATTTACTATCCAGAACCACCAGTGAACCTACACGAGTCTTCTGAGTTTATATGGAATGTTGATGATGGAAAATAGTGGGAAATCTGAAATAATACGTTTTCTTTGGGGACTATTTTGCCTCACAGCGCCCTGCATGTATCCCTCCACCATGAATGGAGTTTAAGTTCTCTAAACTATCATAAAACAGTGTCTCAGTCATCAGGCAGTGAATTCATAACCATTTCATGTAGGAACTTTCTGTGAGGGAGCTTTTAGAGGTGGACGTCTGGTTCCTATCACCACCACTGTGAATAATTGTGTAAGTTTCAAACCACTCTAAATGTTAAATCTCAAACATGAAATTATGTAGAAGAAAAATGGAAAAACCTTCCTTTTACAAACAGTTATGAATGACAGCTGAAAGCTGGGCTTTACAAAGGTTCTTCACACTCATACCTCATGTACAGAAAGAGAACCATCATCTGAAATGTTGTAGGACACTAATAACCAACAAATTTGTATGTGCTGTTTGTCAGATTTACCCTGTTCTAGATAAGGGAGTGAGGAAGCGTTTGGCTCTGCTGATCAACAACGTGGAGTTTGAGTGTGAGAATATGAGGAGGAGAGGAGCTCAGAGAGACGAGGAGAACATGGAGAAGCTGCTGAGAGGTCTGGGCTACGACGTCGTAAAACACACCAACCTCTCTGGACAGGTTTGTCAAGAAAACAAACTTCCGTTCGTCTGTATGAGACCTTGTTGTGCAATAAGTTCCAGGACAAAAATTCCAGGACAATCTGTGTGGAGACTTTTGTTGTTTCCATTCTCTGGCTTTTCTGCTTAAATGCTACGACATCTGATCAACATCCCATCTAGTCCTAAAGGACCAAACTGGGTTCTGGGGACAACCATGAGAAAGTTTGGGCTAAATATTGGAGGGAACCTAGACATATTAGGGAAGCAACCAACAGAATGTGAAATCTTCTGAACCAATCCAATGGCTCAAGAGGGCGGAGCTGACAGTAGAGGGCGCTGGTGCATTCGTCAAACAAATAGCAAGCCTGTTGTTGGCACATCGTTGTGATGTAAGTTAGCAGTGCAGAACAGCCCCCCAAGAAACCTGCAATCAAGCATGTAGATGTGTGTTGCATGTGCGGAGAACACATTACAGTAACAGTCCCTTAAGTTCTAAGTATTAACCTGGTAAATATAGAGTACAAACTCCTATGTACTAGATAATTATTTTGGGTAACAAGATGGTGAGTTCCAAGACAAATTACGAAGTAACTGTTATGAACAAGTTATGAAGGGCAATGATGACACAAAATACACAGATAGTTAGTAAATGTAAGTAAAATGTAAGAACCCATTAGAACCCTTATAAGAACCACTGCTTTCTTTTACAGCCCAGCTTCAGTTTAGTTTATAGCTAATAAACAGCTACAAACTATATAAGACTATGTACTTTGTTCATCTAAAACCATCTTACATCATTAACTATCAAAATAATTTAGTTTAAATGTTACGCTTACTCAGAAAATATCTAGAACCTGTTGGGCATTTCAGTGTAATTTCATCTGACTGCCTTAGAACTCACTATCATGATACTCACCATAACTAGCTAGTCCTTTGGTGTTTGTACTTCATTCTTACCTGGATAATGTCTAGAACTTAAGGGACTGTAAAAGAACACATCACCTACATTACATGCACTCAAAATAAACATGACCTCTTACTAGTTCTGCTAGCTAATTAGCACTTCGCTAGCTAGCTGGTTTTGCTTGTGTCATTGATTTTACTCTAGATGTTAAAAAAAACGGACTATACTAATCTGGGGGCGGAGTTTAAAGGGCCGTATTATTGTTAGTGACCAATTTCACTGTAGTCCAGCACCAAAGATTAAAAGGTTTGTCCCCAGGTGTGTAGTTTTGTTACGAGAGCTCACCCTGGCCCTGCAAGACTACATCAGATCATGCTACATTTTCTGGATTAGCCAAATTAGCATTGTATGGTAGAACCTTTAAGTGCACTACTGTGTCCAAACGTCTAGTACATGATTCTATGACTTGAGAATAACTCAGTTTGTTTGCATTGTAGTCCATATACTGAATAATATAGTTTACAATATACTAAGTCTATGATCTTAATGTAGGAAGCTAACTTCTAGTGGTAGAACCCATATCTGGTCTTTCTTACTAATCCCTGCTAGTTAATCCAAGTGTAAACAAAGCTACCAACATAACTGGTCAGTATAAATCTGAGATGGACCATTGTCAAACAACTACCTTGTTCATAAAGTTTATTACTGATATTTTTGAGGTAGCTTAGAACACATAGGGTCCACCACCTTTGATCCCACCAGTAAATGACTGATTGTTGTTTCAGGAAATGGACGAGGCGCTAAGAAGCTTTGCTGGACGTAGTGAGCACAAAGAGTCAGACAGCACCTTCGTGGTTATAATGTCCCACGGCAAGAGAGACGCCATTTTGGGGGTCCATCACAAACCTGACAACCCAACTGATTTCCTTTCTGTTGATAGAATCTACTCCCACCTGAACACGCAGAACTGTCCTGCTCTGCTCAACAAACCAAAAGTTATTCTGATTCAAGCCTGCAGAGGAGGTACGTCTAATATTAATAATCATTTCTCTTTGTCTTCACAAAATGACCCAATTATTATAGATATATTGGTTCTTAGAGTCAGTTATTCATTCAGCCTAATGAGAAACTGTAGAACAGACTCAGTTTATATCACAATACCTACATTTAGAGTCGGTTATTCATTCAGCCTAATGAGAAACTGTAGAACAGACTCAGTTTATATCACAATACCTACATTTAGAGTCGGTTATTCATTCAGCCTAATGAGAAACTGTAGAACAGACTCAGTCTATATCACAATACCTACATTTAGAGTCGGTTATTCATTCAGCCTAATGAGAAACTGTAGAACAGACTCGGTTTATATCACAATACCTACATTTAGAGTCGGTTATTCATTCAGCCTAATGAGAAACTGTAGAACAGACTCAGTTTATATCACAATACCTACATTTAGAGCCAGTGATGGAGAGAGAAGCTAGAGACTCAGCTGTAGCCGTCGTTCATGTTCTCTCTGTTAATGATGTGTTCAGATGAGAAAGGCCGTGTTTGGGTCGCTGACAGTGCATCAGAGGATCTGTGGAACATGGAGAGCGACGGTGTCTGGGAGCATAAAGAGAAGGATTTTGTCTCGCTGTTGTCCTGCACACCTGGTGAGTAACGCCATCATTGATTTACCTTCCAAAAACACCAACAAGGCTGACACTAAAACTATTGCTTTGTTCCCGGTCATTCTCACCGTCCACACTGGATTATATTGGTCTGAACACACTGACCCCCACACTGAATGACTGTTTCATCCCACTGTTCACTCCTCTACGCTAAATTATCGAGTGTCCACACTCTTAAACATGATGGTTCTTCAATGGTTCTTTAGTAAAGAATATGGTTCTGTGTAGACCCATGGACATTCAAAGATCCATTTTCATGATTAAAAGGATCTTTGCGTCGTGAAAGGGTTCTTCAGTTCAGCTGCTTTTCCACTGCATGGTCCCAGCTCAATTCGACTCGACTGAACTCTCTTTTTTGGTTTTAGGCAAATCTAGCACCTGGTACCTGGTACAAGGTTCTATTTTTTGGTATCACCTCCGTTAAGGTTCCAAGAAAGCTGAGCTATTACCAATAGGTGACGTAAAGACGCTACAAACTACTGATTGGTTGGAGAGAATCACTAAACACATAACGTTAGCTACCAGGTTAGACGTCTTGCGTCGCCTTTGAGCACCAGAATCGTCTCGTCGTCTGATGTAGTTTTTCCCCAAACTCTCCTGTTTTCTTCAGCTGTGTTCAGTCTTGCTGCCCTCAGCCTCTTCTGAAATGAATTTGTCTCTTTCACGTCTCGACAGTTTTATGCAGCGTCGCTATGATGAACAGCTACATCGAGGGGGCGCTATATTTGCAGTGGAAAACAAACTAGTTGGTACCAAAAGTAAGTAGAGTGGAGTCGAGTCAAGTCGAGCCGGTACCATGCAGTGGAAAAGCGACAATAGGTGGAGAATGTGCTGTAGATGGTTCTAGATAGAACCTTTTGGAAAGAGCTTCTATGTAGCACCAAAAAGGGTTCTTCTATTGTGACGATGTCTGTGTTGTAACAGCAAGAATGGCCTGGGTTCGATTCCCGGCCGGGCGACCAGGGTCCTTTCTGTGTGGAGTTTGTATGGTCTGTGTGGGTTTCCTCCGGGTACTCCGGTTTCCTCCCACAGTCCAAAAACATGCAGTCAGGCCAATTGGACACGCTAAAATGCCCCTAGGCGTGAATGTGTATGTCTGTCTGTCTGCCCTGCGATGGACTGCCGACCTGTCCAGGGTGTATCCTGCCTTCCGCTCAATGACAGCTGGGCTCCAGCACCCTACCGCAACCCAGAAGGATAAGAGGTTTAGATGATGTGTGTGTGTACTTAAGTAGTTTTTTCGTGTATCTGTACTTTAAGTATTTCCATTTTGGGCGACTTTTTTCTTTCAATCCGCTACATTTCAGAGTCAAATATCTCACTTTTTACTCCACTACATTTCAGAGTCAAATATCTCACTTTTTACTCCACTACATGATGAGAAATCTGTCGCTCCTTTTGGTTTATGTGTGTTTAAAACGTACCGTCAAAATAAAAGAGGCACAAAGCAAGAACACCAATCAGGGCACAGCGCACTTTGTTTAGAGCTTGTTTTGAGCTTGTTGGTCATACCGACCCAGTGCAGCACACGGCTCAACATCAGTGCAGCAGCGTAAAATTTTGGGAGAGTCTATTCAACATAAATGATGAACTAACCTAACTTTGTGTAAACAGACCACAATATAGAAATATGTACTCATATGCAGTTGAGACTGACGTGTCTTTATCTGAATTTATACAAACACATTTCATTTTATAGTAAATTAGTTTTGGCTAGTTTATGTTTATGAACAGAGACCTACAGATGCAGTTTAGTAAAGGAAAACTCATTTGTGAATCTGAGTTCAAAGTTTTTATTAAACTTAAACTTGTAACTAAGTTAAATAAATCTTAAACTGAAACTTTGCTTGTTTGTAAAAAGTGATTTCAGAGCCACTCAGTTCTACCTGATGGAAACTGTTTGCCTTCAGTGTTTTGTGCTTATGATCATTTTAATAGACATCAGCGTCACTAATTAATGACTCTATTAAAAGACTGGTTTACCAAGAGAGACACTGGAGTATTTTCACCTAAAATGAGTTAATGAAGCGAGTCTTGTTACATAAATGATAACAGGACATTAAAGTCATAATTAATCTGTTAGTACTTTTACTTTTGATACTTAAGTACATTTGAAGGCAAATACTTTAGTACTTTTACTCAAGTGGAGGTCTAAAGGGAGGAACTTCTGCTTTTACTGCAGTAATATTTTACCTTGGGTATCTCTACTTTAACTCAAGTACGTGGTTTGTGTACTTCGTCCACCACTGGTTGTAACCACAGAAGGACCCTTTTTGGTGCTACATGATGCAAAGAACCATTTAATCATGCAAAGGGCTCTTTGATTTTTCATGGTTCTATACAGAACCATTTTCTTTACCACAGAACCCTTGAAGAACCATCATTTTAAAGGGTGCCTGATTGATCAGACTGAATACCTTACCAAAACCATCAGTGTATCCTGTGTGCAACTGATGTCTTAAGGGTTCTTCTTCTGGTCAGTGGAGAAATTTTGTGACTTGGTTAAATTTTTTAGGATTCTCTAAATCGTGACTGTTTCTTCCACAGACACCGTGTCTTACAGGCACACAGAACACGGAGCATTTTTTATCGGATTCCTGGTGGAGGTGTTCAATGCGAACGCCCATAAGGACCACATTGAGGAACTGTTCCGACAGGCAAGTTCAAATTACACCTACACTGAAATCCTGCATTTTGTTTGAACTCTAATAAATTAAGACTGTTGTACATACAACTCAGTATACCCCACATATTGCTCAACAATTTTAAATTAAGGGAATGTTTTTGATGATTTTGTACACTCAAATGGCATTTTTGAGTCGAATTAACTTATTGCTATTTAGTTTAGTCTGTTGCCATGGAAGCTTTGAAACCCCACATTAAAAAAATGATGAAATTTCTGTTGGTTTTAATCGTTTCTTTCTCAGTAAAGTTGCTGAACAAATGTGTGAAACTGAGTGAAGCTCAGTAAGCTGTGAAATACAGTTACATGTTTGTTTTGTTAACACAAATTTGTTGGATATAACGTATTTTTCTTTCCCATTGGCTCCTGGCTGGAGCTATTTGCATATTGGGTGTTTCCTTCCATTTGTTTTACTCACCTTCAGTGTGTTTTCATTCCACCCAGGCTGCCTTTCCTCAGGCGTATGCTTATAATATATGCCTTATTCAGCTCCTTGACCTTGTGTTCTTGGCTAAAAGTGAAGGTTACCCTTCTCTTTGCCGATGATTTGGGGTTTGTGTTGGTCAGTGACCACGTTCACACTAAGGGTTAACCCTTGGGTGTTTGGCAAAGTGGTCAGTATCACTTAATTAGAAAAAAGTTCTTAATTGCCCAATGAAACGTAATTAAATTGCGACGTAAAAACGTTAAATTAAAATAATCCGAATTTACGAATTCCACAAACATGCGTTTATGTTAACCTAACAGAAAAATTATAGTTATTCTCAGTCAAGCTTTCGTTACACATTACTTATCTTTTTTAAGGCAACCAGTTTCCTCGATTTTTTTAAGTAAATTCAACTTATCCAGGCTTTCATACAAAATGATGTCGAGTTAATTAAGAAAACGGATTCAGACAAGTTCCAACTTAAGCAATAGGCGTCTAATATACGTGATGTTTGTTTGTTGTGATTTGTGTCCTCAGGTTATGAGACGCTTTGAGAACTTCCAGAAGCTCAAGCAGATGGTGTCTAAGGATCGAATTTCTCTCACAAAGTTGTTCTACCTGTTCCCCGGGCTCTGAGATGACACTTGTTTTGTCTGAGCTTTTATTCTGCTTGACTATCACATACGAATCTGTAAAGAGGCGCCCTACAGTGGTGCAACTATGGCCAATTCTTTTTCTTTTACTTAGGATTAAAATGTACAATTTTAGGAGAAAAATGCAAAATAATTGATTTTTTGTACTACTTTTTTGGTTTACATACACATTCAGAGTAAACATGAACATGATTCACAAAGAACTGTAATGACTTTAATGCTGTATGAATAATGATGTACACAGCATACCGTGAACTGGTCTTACACTGTAATTATGCTGTTATGCTGTATGTCTCTCAGATATAACATGACAGGACAAACTCAGATTAGCAGGAGAAGCTTTGTAACTTTTGGAAGGAAGTATTAAAGCATATTTTTGAAAAGAGTTTTTAGTTGTTTTTAGTTTTTGGCACTATAAAGCGATCAGGCATAACATTCTGACCACCTCCTTGTTTCTACGCTCATTGTCCATTTTATCAGCTCCACTTACTATATAGGTGCACTTTGTAGTTCTACAGTTACAGACTGTAGTCCATCTGTTTCTCTGATACTTTGTTAGCCCCCTTTTACCCTGTTCTTCAGTGGTCAGGACCCCCATGGACCCTCACAGAGCAGGTACTATTTGGGTGGTGGGTCATTCTCAGCACTGCAGTAACACTGACGTGGTGGTGGTGTGTTAGTGTGTGTTGCGCTGGTCTGAGTGGATCAGACACAGCAGTGCTGCTGGAGTTTTTAAACACCTCAGTGTCACTGCTGGACTGAGAATAGTCCACCAACCAAAAGTATCCAGCCAACAGCGTCCTGTGGGCAGCGTCCTGTGACCACTGATGAAGGACTAGAGGATGACCTACACAAACTGCAGCAGCAGATGACCTATCGTCTCTGACGTTACATCTACAAGGTGGACCAACAATGCAGATGTGTCTAATAGAGTGGACAGTGAGTGGACACAGTGTTTAAAAACTCCAGCAGCACTGCTGTGTCTGATCTGTAGTCCAGATGGACTACAGTCTGTAACTGTAGAACTACAAAGTGCACCTATATAGTAAGTGGAGCTGATAAAATGGACAATGAGCGTAGAAACAAGGAGGTGGTCAGAATGTTATGCCTGATTGGTGTAATTGTTCCTGAAGATGCTTTTATTACATTATCATACAATATGCAGTTCTGCATAAACAAAGACGTTCTAGCTTCAGAAGCATTTCTTTTGGTCTTTGGTTGTTGGTTAATAGTTGAGTTAATATGGAAAGTACTGAAATAACCTCTTCAATACAGAATTAGCACCTACAGTACAGAACATCTACAGTACTGAGTTAGCACCTACAGTATAGAACATCTACAGTACTGAATTAGCACCTACAGTATAGAACATCTTCAGTACTGAATTAGCACCTACAGTACAGAACATCTACGGTACTGAATTAGCACCTACAGTATAGAACATCTTCAGTACTGAATTAACACCTACAGTACTGAACATCTACAGTACTGAGTTAATACTCACCATATTGAATTAGTACCTTCAGTATTAAATTAGCACCTACAGTACTGAACATCTACGGTACTGAATTAGCACCTACAGTACTGAACATCTACGGTACTGAATTAGCACCTACAGTACTGAACATCTACAGTACTGCATAAGTACTGACAGTACTAAATTAGCACCTACTGTACTGAACATCTATTGTACTGAGTTAATACTGACAGTCCTGAAGCAGCATCTTCAGTACTGAATAAGCCCCTACAATACTGAACACCTACCCTTCCCCCAGCTGAAATGGACCTTCTGATTGATTCTGTCATTGAGTTTGAATCTCTCTCCGTTCGGGTCTATTGGTCAGCACTCTGTGTGGTTTAACTTCTTTATGATGTAAACGAGCTGAACTCAATCAGAAAGTGATGGTTCATCAGTACTTTGAAAAGTGGTGCAACAAATGCCCGGCTATTTTTGAGATCTTTGTAATTATCTGTGGCATCTGTGTAATTTCCCAAAGATAGCCTGTCCGTGTTGCACCACAGGACACTCAATAGCAATAACAACACAGCCATGTCTGTTAGCATGTTTTCACTGTAAAACAAATGAAAAGTCAGGTCAACTTTGAATTATGGATTACTTATCAACATCTTAAAATGAATTTTAGTCAGTTTTCTCAACAATTTAGTCGTGTCCAGCTCAGCCTGATAGCTTAGCCTCACTCTGTTCTTCCAATCTCAGAGGGTGAAGGCTAGCATGAGCTTCCTTAGAGACTGTTACGTGCACGTATACGATGCACGTATGTTTTGTTTTTCTTTGTTTGTTTTTTTTTTTTCCTTTCTCTCTCTCTCTCCTCTTTCCCCCAACCAGATCGTGGTGCAGGTGTGGATAAAAGGACCAATGTGGACAACATACGCTTGGCTGTGCTCTACCCTCTACAAATCCGGATGGGTGCTTTCTGCAAAGGGGCGGGCCTTGGCAGATAAAAGCACTCACCTGAGACCAGTTATGGAGGGGAGCGTTTAGCGTGCTTGAGACTTGTAGTGGCAAGCTGTGTTACTTTAGCCGTGAATATGTAACCAGTAGTGCTAGTCTCCCGTGCTCCCTCTCTAGTTCTCTCTCTCCCCCAGCGCATGTGTGGACAGGCAAGTTGGGCGCGCCTATACATGTGCATACACAATAGTGGTTGGATTGTTTAGACACATCAGGTAAGGGGCGAGTGCCACCCGCTGTATTTTGGTGAGGATTAGACTTGGCTAGGCAGATTAGACTTTGGTTTTCTTTGTTTCATTTCTTTGGCACCGTCCTCCGTCCACCCTTGCGGTTGGTTGGGTCCCCTTAGTCAATGTTCTTGCATACTTGGTGGTTAGTTAACTCCTTTTCTTTTAATCTATACGCATTCAGCTCAGCTTATTATATTAACTCTCTTTCCTTGCAAATATGTTGTTCCTGTATCAGACACTTTTGCAAGTGAGAAGCAAAACTAAAGACTTGATTGCAAACGCCACTATTGTGTACTTGTGTCCTTCCCTTCCATCTCCATCACATGCCATGTTATTTCCCCTCCACCCCTAGCTACATCTGAGGGGAACGTAACAGAGACACATAAAGCTCCAGATCTTTTCAAACTGCCAATGTTGTAATGTCACTGGGGCTCAACACGCTTGGAGGAGAACGCTAACTGCTAGTACTGTTTTGTCAGCTAACACTTTGTCAGCTGGTCTACACTGGTCTATGCTGGTTTATGCTGGTCTAGTGCTGGTTTAGTTCATCATCCAGTATGGTCATGCTGGTTGACCAGCATTCAAGCATCTAAAACACAACATATGCTGGTTTTGCTGGTGACCAGCCGTGCTTGTCTATGCTAGTTTTTCTAGCAGGGATAACCATGACTGAGGAGTGAGGCTGCATGGAATATACTGTAAAGAATTGCTACGATTGCAAGTAACAGCTGTTTTTAAATTGTGTACATATTTCAGAATAGGTGATTCAACATCAGCACGTATAGTCAGGGGCATCGGACCACAGGTCATGGTGGACCAGATTAATCAGGGCGCTGCCTGGAGGGGGGCCCTGCAAAAGCCTTGGATATACATTGATTTTGGTTTCTAATATACTCACTGTTATTATAGAAATAAACAATAACTTCTATGATAAGATGAATGCTTATGTGCCTGCTTTCTGCCCTCCAACCAAAAATAAAAACAAACCCAAAATCAGGATTTCAGAAGCACGAGGAGCACAGAGACGAGAGAACAAGTTAGCTTGCTAACTAGCAATTAGTTAGTAAGCAGTCATTCATAACAAACACAAGGAAAAGGTTTTGATTCAATACATCTAGTGAGCATTTTATCAGTAGTTAATGCAACAGACAGTGTTTTTGTCATAACCCAGTAAAGTTCAGTCTCAGCCCAGTCTACTCAGTCTCTGCTAAAGCCTTAGTAGACTGATTTATCAATGTGATCGGTTATTAATCTCAGTGTTACTGAGCTCTGCTAAAGCCTGAGTAGACTGATAAATCAATGTGATCGGTTATTAATCTCAGTGTTACTGAGCTCTGCTAAAGCCTGAGTAGACTGATAAATCAATGTGATCGGTTATTAATCTCAGTGTTACTGAGCTCTGCTAAAGCCTGAGTAGACTGATAAATCAATGTGATGATCAGTTATTAATCTCAGTGTTACTGAGCTCTGCTAAAGCCTGAGTAGACTGATAAATCGATGTGATCGGTTATTAATCTCAGTGTTACTGAGCTCTGCTAAAGCCTGAGTAGACTGATAAATCAATGTGATCAGTTATTAATCTCAGTGTTACTGAGCTCTGCTAAAGCCTGAGTAGACTGATAAATCAATGTGATCAGTTATTAATCTCAGTGTTACTGAGCTCTTTTAAAGGAATGATCAAACCCAGTTGTGGATGTGTTTGTGAGTGATAAATTTAGCATCAGTGTTGTTAGGGTTGGCCTAGCTACTGAAAAATTAGTAGTTAGCTACTTTGTAGCTACTTTCCCCAAAATTGTAGCTATACAATTTAGCTACTTTTCCAGAAAAAGTAGTGGCTACTTTTTAGCTACTTTCAAAGCGTGATTGTCAGAATGTTTATGAATCTCCACCTGACACACCAAACAAGCCCAACTGACTGTGTGAACAAGACACTGCATTTAATCATGAGCCAGAAAGAAACGTACAGCTGAAAAGCTGCAAATATACAAAAAGATCACCAAAAAGTCAGTTTGAGTGTAACCAACACTCAAACTTACACAACCAAAGGTGTGATATCCAACAACAATTTAGACTAAAGGCAAAGTCAATCATTCCAGTTTTTTCCTAACAAAAATCAACAGAAATAACCGACAAACCAAACCATTCAACTGTTGAAATAAAACTGCTCTAATTTAAACTTTTCAGTGAGATCAGTACAGACAGACATGGCATTCAGAGACCTGTGTTAAACTTCAGTAACACTTTAGCCTCAAAGTTCTCATCAGTGACTCTGGCTCTGTTTGGGGTGAGAATCAGACCTGAATAATCTCTCCACTGTTGCGGCTCCACAGCAGAACTAGATTTGTAGGTAAAATAACATAATCCTCCTTTACTGTAAAATCGTTCTAACACAGTTTTCACAATAAATGGTCTTAAACGCTGGAGTTAATGCATAACGGCTAATTCACCAACCTTTAACGCTGAAGACTGACGCTCAGCGGCTGGACACACAGCAACACAGACAACGAAACGGCAAAGAGAGAGATTTAAGACGAACATCAATAATTTGGAGATGAATGGACTTATGCATTTAGAGATCACTCAGCTGGTTTCCTGATACGTTTAATCTACAGCAACTCGTGAAACTGAAGTCAGCTTCTCATTCTCCAGCTTCTCGTTCGAATTTTCCTTTTCCACCTTAAATGG